CATCTGCTGCTAAAACTCTTTTCTTGTACATTGTGTGACTCTGCTTGAGCGCAAATGTCACCGGGCTGGAAATTGCTCTCATTACAGCTGAGTTTGAAGCAACGGCAAACCACAGAGCGGCTTAAAATGTTAACGGGCTACCACTGGAGTGTTTTTACTATTTATAGTCCAGAGTGATGTACAAAGACAAATGTGTGTCACTGGTAACGTCGTATGGAATAAGATAATCTGTTTCCGGAATATTTGGGTGAAAATGGACCTTTTGCCTCTCAGCATTTGAAACATCTAAACAATTACTGACCTCATGGTTTACTTTAAATTAGTCTATAAATGGCAAATTTGAAGTTTATATCAAACCATCATTTGTGATTGAAGTAGGGAAGTTCTGACCTAAACAGTTGGGCCCAAATCACAAAAACAATGTATTGATTAGTATCAAATCGGTACCACACTCATCTCCTAATCTCTATTGTTAACTTACTTTCTACGCTTTTACATTAGCTGTGCTCTTACGACACCAAAGTTTTACTTGGCCAGAGGAAAAGAAGATCAGCTCTCTCCGAGTTGTTTTCACCTTACTCCTCGCTTTAGCTCCTGGTCCTTCCAAAAACATCATCCAAAGCACGTGGTGAACGGGACTTTTCCTACGTTGTACCAAGACTTTTGGACACCCTACCACCTCACATTTGGGCTGCCCAAATAAGGTGTCCAAATAAGGTGTCCCTTATTCTCAACCACCTCTTGATGCGCTAACCACCTCTAAACCGACATTTCCTGTCATTTCCGTCCGCGAACAAAATGTTTGCTACGTAGCTTATTTACTCCAGAGCCTTAAGCTCTGGAACAGCTTAGGACCTCTCAGACGTTGCTGGATTTTAGGTCATTGCTTAAAACTTTTTTCTTTGACCTGGCTTTTAATGTTGGTTGATCTGTGTAGCTAATCTTTTACTTTTATCTAGTTTTACTGAGCTTTTATTACTTGATCGTGTAGTATTGTTTACTCTCAACCTGTCATTTTACTCATGGTTTTATTATTTTTATTGTCTACTTTTTATCTTTTTAACGTGTTCATTTAGGGTGTGTTTAATGTGGTGTTGTACTTTGGGCTGCGTGAGCAACAGTAAGTGTGCTATAAGAATAAAGCTGACCTTGACCTTGACACTGCCCTAATCTGTTGTGAAGAAGTGGAAGCTAAACCAGAAAGAGAAGCTCTCTGGAGATACTGGTATATCATTGTCCCAATCCTCACCTATGGCCATGAGCTCTGGGTAATGACGGTTGCGGTTATAAGTGGCATAAATTAATTTTCTTAGTAAGGTGGCTGGGCTTACCCTTACAGGTAGGGTGAGGAGCTCTGACACTACATCAAAAGGAGCTAGCTAGTTTGGGTTAGAGGGTTAGGGTTGTCCAACAAGAGCTGATTCAATAATGTCCCATCCAGCAGGAGGCCCACAGGTTGACCCATTTGACAGTTTGGGCTTTTCCTATAGCAGATACAATTTTAAATCATACCCTGTACACCGCCAAATGAAGACAAAAAAATGTAGAAAAAAGTCTTTTTTTCCTAACGTGAAATTTAAGGAGTAAAAATATTGGAATTACTCTACTTTTTGTTGGGCATCATATTGGTCAAAATCTAACTAAGATTCATTTAAATGTGTATTTTCCCTGGCAATAGGGGGCAGCACATGCTTAAATCAATACAAGCAGGCGGTATTTTTGTGTTTGAGTAAAACCTTACCAATGGATGCCCATTAGGGTCAAAAATCCCTGGAACCACAACCTCCAGCAAAATAACAAGCACATCAGACTCCCATTCATCACTGCCAACAAGTGAAGAGGTAAATGTGTAAAACATTTATGAATGGTGAAAGTTTTGTAACCATTTGCTACGAATCAGTAAATTCATTTTGTCCTCATGGGCTCCCGTAGGAGGAAACATGGCCTCTAATATGGTATCACCCAGAGACTTAGACCCACTTCCATGTGTTTTAGACCTGCTTTTTATGGTTAAATGTTACAAAGCCACCTTTTCAACAACTGGTCATCATTATATTCATTTTCAACAACATTTTGATGGGTATTTCCAGAGATGTAATAAGGAATGGTTTTATAAATCTGATAAGGAGTTGAAGCCGTTGACCTTTCTTCTTAAGGTCACCAGCTCTCAGATTAACTGAGCATTTGTAAACTCTGCAGGGAAAAAGGGCCCCACCTTGAGACCAAGAGCACCTCAAAGGACGTGGGTTCTGACAGCACAGATTTTTGGAGGTCTTATTGAGCTTTCTGGGCTGCATTAGGGGGATTTAAACAATATTGGGCATGCGGTTTTAATGTTGACCCTTGTGTTTCTGTTTGTAAATTACGAAACTGGAGCCAAGAAAGGATCGCCTCCTTCTAGTTTTACAAAGAGGTTTGAACACAAAGACTGGTTTTAGTTGGCTAATCCATCCACAAATAACCCAAAGAAAAACGTGTTCAAACAAGATGTTGTGTGCTTTAACTTCATTTGCAGGAGCAAACTTGTGGTTTAATTTTTCTCGGCCGGCTTTTAGCCAAACATATGTATCCTACTTTTCATACTTCAGGAAAGACTTATTTTTATTTCCAAATGAACTCCAATCAAGTCGATGTAAAATAAACACTGCTCAAACTATTATCTGTAATGTAAAAGTGACTTTTACACCCATGTTTAGAAGTGAATCTGGGAACAATGAATCAGAGGTAAAATTACTTTCAGAAGAAAAGAATATTAGGAACAAAGTAGCACCTGAATACATGCAATCTTCCATGTGCCTCACACATACCCACGCAGATGTTGTTTATACTGAAAAAAGCCCTCCTCCTGTCTTTCCCAGAATCTCTTGTTGTCTCTCACAGCATGCTTGCAGGTTACATGCAGAAGGGGGTGGAGCTAAAATGTCAGGGGTCACCTGACAAACATTTTTTTTTATCTTGCCTTTCTCCTCTGTGTCCCTATATCACTGTACCACTGCATCACCCCCACTCCCCCTACTTCGCTGTATTCTTTTACAAATTGAAGGGATGGGGTTTGGTCTTCAAGTGCATACGTGCATCTGAACATGCTTCGTCTTATCCCGGAGTCTCTCACCTGGGGTCTTCATCCTGGTGCCGCAGCACTTTTACAGATTTCCAAAAACGTTCAAAGGTTTCCAATTAAATATTATTTTATTTAGTCAAATGCAACACCAATGCATTGGTGAGGAAAATATTCTTCTTCAAACTTTAAAACTATCTTTTTTGTTTGGGGAAGCAAATGACTTTACTACTTTTTCACAAATGGATTAAGTCTAACTATGACGTTTCCTTATTTCAGGGTATACATTAACCAAGTCATGCAAAATCCTCTGACACTCCATCCCTGTACAGAAATTAAATCTCAGAGTTGTGTATATTTAAATAAACTTCCTAGATTTTAACTAATTCATCCCTAACTGAAGTTTAAGCTACGAGAATAATGAACTTCTGGCTCCATCTACTGGACAGCTTAAGAAAACAACACCATCAGGCAAATCAACTTCTCCAAAGCCATTGCCAAAAGCTGTGAGAATTCACCTTTGGCCATGGCTGGACATCTAGGTATAGTATTCAATTCATAATCTTTCTTATTAATACCAACTTACTTTTTTCTGTGTAGTTCTACCAGTTTCTAATAGGTATTTTTGTGATTGTTTCATTGGAGTAGAACTACATAAACAAGATTTGAAACTAGGTTAACTGACAGCCTATTCTTGCAGCAAATGTCTCTGCCAATTCTCTTCCAACTGAAACCTGATCCCAGGACAAAAAGTGACGTGATTGTTGATGCAGTCATCCCTTTAAACAGCTGATTGATGACTGAATGGATAAGAATGGAGCTAGCATTGGGTGGATACGTGACATAAACCGAACACAAGAGGAATCATCAAAGAAATGAATTCTGAGAACCAAAGAAATGTGTTTATTTCAACTGCAAGTTTGCAAAAGAATGAAAGATATGTGACCTGTACAGAAGGTCAAATATCTGTCGACAGCTTTCAGAGTGTCGCAGGGGCTTTGCTTCCAAAACACTTTTGAAGCGATAGCTTAAAGAGCTATTGTCTGAGAATGCAGGCAGTAAGTGTCTACAACACATTCAGATCTGTTTTGGAGAGGGACAATTGCCGGTACTTGCAGTGGAATAACTACTACTTTACTCACAAAGCTTACCAGACTTAAACCTCTTGTTCTTCATTTACATGCTGATGTATTGAAACTAAAAACACTTGGATTGATTTTAGATGGAAACCCACAAACTCCCAGTTTACCATAAAGGCCCAGGTGGTAGAGTGCATGAAGTATACGTACTGAAAGCCTTTAACTCCCATGATATTGAATCCCAATGACAAGGATCAGCATTAGTCTCTTTCTTTTAGGTGAAGCGGTCTCTTATGACCATTTTCTATAAATCTTGCATCGCATCTTTCCTCACTATCCCTACATGCTGGCATGGAAGACTCGGAATAAGTTCCTAAACAATTCCACTCACTAAAATTTGACCGATTTCTGAATTTACAGCATAATTATTCTCTCTCACCTGTTTACCAAACAATACTGTTGTTGGGTCTAAAACAAAAAAAGCCCCTAAAGTCTTGTCTAGAAGTACAAGAAGTACAGTAACTAATGTGACATTGTAGGTTTTCATATCAACCTATTTATTCCAACATCAATACCATTGTTTAGCACCTCTCAATATAATCTTGTAATGCTAATGTGATTTAAACTTGAATATCTTTATTAGTCAGTATGATTGACTAATCAAAGAACTCTAGGGGGAAGGACGTCCGTCACTCCTGAGGTCTTTAGAGCTGATGGATTCAGTGCAGGTCTTGGCCTCCCAGCTATCTTTAGTGGACCATAGTCTGGTAATGGAGTGTCTAACTTTATCTGGCCCTTCGTCATGTTAGCTGTGGGTATTTTTAGGGGGTAGCTTGCAGTGGTAGCAGCTGCAAAAGAATTTATTTTCCTCTCCACTCCCTCTCTTACTCTTTAGCCTTTGGACAATGACAGAATCAGCATTGATGTGAACGCCACACGGTAATCCCTGCAAGGTAATGTGTAATTGGATGGACACGATCAAGAAAAGACACCTGTGAGCCTGACCCAACAAAAAAAATCCCTTTGTGAAGTGAACTGCTAGTTCATTGAGCCAGAATCTGTAAGCAGGTCGAAAAGACAGAAGAACAGACGTAAGCGGTCTACGGACATCTGTCTTTAAGAAGCCCACCTACAACTAAAGCAACCTGGTTGGTTTATGGACATCAGTTTTGAAGCGATCAAATGCTAAAGATGAAGTCACTTTAAAAGAGCGGTAAGTTTCACCTGTAAATGTTCATTTTCTAGTTTGAAAATAGTTTTCTGAAAAGTATCAGAAGGCTTTGTTAGTTCCTTTAATTCAATTCAGTTTATTTATATAGCGCCAAATCACGACGAGTCGTCTCACGGCACTTCACACAGTAAACATTCCAATGGAGTTCAGTTCATGATGCCAATTAGTTAATTTCCTATGTGAAGAAATGTGGAAATAAAATGTTTCTTTCTTGTATAACTAAGCCCGGTAAATGTGTATACTCCCAGTTATCAGTATTAGAGTCTAATAATAAAAAAAGCAACTATTCATTCAGAAAAAAGGGAAATTTTAAATGAACTATGGTTGTTACAGCAGAACATTAAACATGGAAAAATTAAAAACACCTGCAAAAAAAGGTTTCACTTCTATTATGTACGTATTTATGCATTAGGTTGGTGACTTAATGTGTGTTCATGATGTTTTTTTTTTGTCTGAGCTGTGACACATGGTCTTCAGCATGAGGCTACTTTATAAATACACTCTCCAATGAGTTACAGCACCAGCTGTGAGACAACCATGACTGTTTTGAGTTTGCTGAAAAATATCTTTCCTAACGTCCCAATGTCAAGATAGCTTTAGCCTTCCTGCATTCCATATCAGTGGTTAGCAAAGTTGGGGTTGGGACTCTGTTGTAGATCCTGAAACAAAGTGTGGGGTCTTGAGATGATAATCATAAACTCAGTTAAAGAGACACTGTGTAGTTTTTACCATTAATTTCTGGAAACATCCATCAAATTTTTGTTGAAAATGAATGAAACAATGCCCAGTTGTTGAAAAATATTGACGGCTTTGTAACACATAACCCAAAAAATGTTGGTCTAAAATACATGGGAGCAGGCCTACGTTTTTGGACGATGCCATATTAGACGCCATGTTTCCTTCATCAGGAGCCCATGAGGACAAAATTAATTTACTGATTTGTAACAAACGGTTACAAAATGTTCACCATTCTTAAACGTTGTTGCTTTACACATTTACCTCTTCACTTGTTGCGAGTGATGAAGGAGAGTCGGATGTGCTTGTTATTTTGCTGAAGTTTGCACTCCCCAGGGCTTTTTGACCCTAACGGGGATCCGTTGGTAAGGTCTTCCTCCAACAAAAAAAAATACTGCTTTACGATTTAGGTATCTACTGCCTCCTATCGCCATGAAAATATACACACTGTCACTTTAAATGCAAAAAAACTAAATAAATAAGCTAATTATTTATTTAATTGCACTTAATACAATGAATTAAGAAAGAATTGATAAATTTCAGTGTTATTTAACCATGTTACTGTCAGTGTTTGCATACTCATGTCTCTAGATGGGGTTGTTTTGGGGGTCAGAAGCAAAATAGTTTGGCAATCTCTATTCTAGAAATCCTCGATAGTTTGTTGGACCTTTGGCATAATTCAGGTGATCCTCTGTTAAAACCCTTGAATTAACTTTTGATGGCTCCTTTGAATTTGACAAAGAGGTCAGTTCAGTTGTCAACACAAGTTTCTTCCAGATAAGACTTCAAGCAAAGGTAAAGCTCTTCATCTCTTTCAAAGATAAAAAAAAATCCTCATGTTTGTTTTACAACTAACTTTGTTATAATGTGTATCGTAAAGGTCTAGACTAGTCATAGCTTCATTTTCTACTGATGGTGCAAAATACTGCTACTTGTCTTCTAACAGGAACAAGAAAGCTAGACCACAAAGAGCTCCTTCTGGTGTTGCTCAAGTGACTTCCTGTCCAATACAGTTTCAGTAGGTCTTAGGGTTCTTTAAGGGTGTGTCTCATTCTATGTCATAAGTGTTTGCCTTATGTAGTTCTACGCCTCATCTATAATCCTGCAGCCAAATAACAAAATAATCTTAGATGTTCTAAAATAAAATAAAAAATGCGGTGATCTTTGGAGATGCTGCCCAAAATCTGCTTAGATTAAAGAAACAAACTCTTGGATTTCTTATATTTGTAAGAATAGATGAGTCTATGGCCTTCCAAAAGACAAAATATTTTCCCACTAAATATAAACTATGATGTGTTTCTTTTTGTGCCAGAGTCAAGACTACCCAAAAACTACAGCCAACATTACAAAAAACAAGAATCTAACTTTGAAAACAATACCAGTTCTGCATTCAGGAAGGCAAAAGTTGACATTCATCATGGATATTCTTGGCGGTGCTCCTCGTGTTTTGGGCTACCCACGTCCTGTGGTGGTGCAGTGTGGAACAGATGCAACATTGAGGTGCCAAATCGGTGGAGACCCTCGTCCGGATGTTATCTGGGAACGTAAAAATGTCCAAATTCTTTCTGAAGGACGACACAAGCTTGCAGAAGAGGGAAAAGCATACTTGCTAACCATTAAGGGAGTGACCCAGCAGGATGCTGGCCAATACATCTGCAAGGCAAGAAATATCATAGGTGAAACCTACGCAGCGGCCTCACTCAAAGTGGAGGGAGAGCTCCTTGTACAAGACGGAGACATGGTTCAGTCAAGGGTAACTGGTGAAAAGCAATCAGTGAAAGGAAACGAAAATGTTAGTGGATATCTAAATGGCTACAGCGCAGTGGTAAATGGTTCGAGTGGAGAAGAAACAAATGGGGAGCACAAGTGGAACAGCAAGTTAAACGAAAAACTAGAGGAGGTCGACTTAACGTCAAACGATAAACCGCGATTTCTCATCAAGCCCTTGTCTCTTCGTGTGGATCGAGGCGAGGATGCCGCTTTCTCCTGTAAAATCTGGGGAACACCTTTGCCCGAGGTGACTTGGGAGAAAGATGGGAAAAAGCTGCACGATATCTTTGAGAGTTCTCATTTCAGCGTGAGCAATCAGGATGGAGGATGGTTTCAGCTAAAGATCTACAGGACACGCATGCCAGACAAAGGTGTGTACACATGCAAGGCTGTGAACTGTCATGGTGAAGCCTTGGCTGGCGCTGTCCTCCTTGTTGAGCCAGTTCCAGAAAGAGAAGACAGTAAAATGTCTTCAAATGATCACAGCAGCAGCACGAAGTCACCGAAGCACAGAAGTGGGCGATTCAGTTTGTCAAGGATTGTGGAGGAACCACCCCTTAACTCATCCAAAGTCAAAAAGTTTGCAGTAACAGAGGGGAAGCACGCAAAGTTTCGCTGCTGTGTGACGGGCAAGCCAAAACCTGAGATTATATGGAAGAAAGATGGAGTTCCCCTAGATCCTGGCAGACGCCATCTGATATTCGAGGACAGAGAGGGGTACTACACTCTGAAAGTTCTTTACTGTAAAGTGCAGGATACAGGGCTGTATGTGTGTGCTGCTTCAAATGCTCTTGGAAATACCCTCAGTGCCGTTCATCTGTCTGTGAAAGGTATGCAATATCATCTCATCTCTAATCAAACAGCTTCACTGATGAAGCATTACTCAGTTAATTAATCATTTATTAAAGGTGTGAATCACTGAAAAAAACATTTAATTACTATTGCTGATTATAATCAGTACCTCTGAGTTTGTCGTGCAGGCTGAACTTGAAAATTGTCTTCGACACCATCTCATGTTTTAACTTACGATAGAAACGTTAGGATTTGAAAAGCCTGACAGAGCTAGGCCACTCTGTCACTTAGCTTTCATGGACTCACCCATCTGGACTTGCAACGGGAAAGACTGTTGTTGGTTTAGCTTCCAGGAAACAGCAGAGAATGTCTGGACTAGTAGAAGCTAACCGTTAGCATTTGTAACTGTACTACACAGCAGAACTACGCCAGGCTTGAGTTATATGTGGAGATAAAACATCAACATTGCAAATCAAACAAAGGCAGTTGTAGAGTCACGTGGCTGTTATCCAATCTGAGGTGAGATGCTCAAATATCGGGACTTTCTTCTCCAGCTGAATTGTACTTCTTGATTCAGATGCAGCAAAGCTTTTAATGCCTGGAGTACGCCTTACAAGGCATTCATTCCTACTAAAGACTATTGAATAAATGAGTGAACCACATCTTTAAAGATTCATCAATTTAAACTGAGTCATGTTTTTAGTTGGTGTCCTATTTTTCTGCAATAAAAATCGAAAAAATCAAGAATCAAACTATTAATATAAAGTGCTGTTGTTGTTCAGGCTCAACTGTGCGCTTCAGACTCCCATTAAAGGACGTAGAGGTGAAGGAAAGGGATGCTGCTGTGCTGGAATGTGAAGTACCTGATGAGATGATCCCTGCTGCCTGGTACCTTGAGGACCAGAGGCTGATGCCCAACAGTAAATATGGAATGGAGCAGAAAGGAACCAGACGAAGACTCATCATCCACGATGCTGGAACAGATGATGATGGAGTCTACCTTTGTGAGATGCCTGATGGAGCAAAGACCATTGCTGAGTTATCAGTTAAAGGTAGGCTGCATATATCTAAAATGAGATAAATTATTGTAATAGTTTCCCCTTTATACAGTTGCTAAATGTTTCAAATTTAGGTTATAAATACAATGTCCTGCACAACAACCTCCGTTTTCAAAAACCCTCAAAGTCTAGGTAAATTATCTCTGAGTATTTAAAGAGGTACTATGCAACTTTTTCATATTTTAAATGATTTTCTTGAGCCAGTATGTGCTAAAATGACCCTTTACAGGAGCCCTATTCAACAGGCAGTCCAGGGGGCAGAACTGGCCCATCAGTCATTTTGGACCGGCCCATTGCCCACATACTGTACCTTTTTAGTAAATCATTTGTTTAGTAGCTGCGACTTAATTGTAAGCGCAACAGTTAACAGTAGTTTGTGACATTTTAAGGCATGGCCGTTTACGCTGCTGGTGGAAGTTTACAACAGCAGTCTCTTGGGAAAACAAGCTGCATCCAAAAGAGGAGACACAAGATTGACAGCAAAAATAGAAAATTGTAGACATACAAAATATTGAGGGAAAACCTGTGTGCCTTGTCCGTCACGTCATTTGTTCGATAGATAGAAAGAGAATACAAGGGGATTGACAGACAAAAATAAAGACACCAACTAAACAACCAGCAAAGTTGAGTGATTTTCACTTGGAAAGCTACAATAATATCTCTCTGAATTGCATTCATACTGACTGAAAAGAAAAGACAATGGACAAGAGATGGAGTACATAGAAATGAGTGGCCCACTAGCAAAAGACGATTTGGCCAAAAATAAGCTAATTAAATACCCCTGATTTACAGGGTGATGAAACGTCACTCAGACCCCCACCACCCACTGTGGCCAGAATATCGCATTTGCAACGTCAGAGTGGCAGGACGCCAACTGTTGGACTTAGGAAAAGTGGAGTTGACATGCTAGCGCTGGAGTCTGCTACCAGCACGTTTCCTGAATGTTTTAGATCATGAAAACAGCTGATTTGTTTGATGTAGTGATGAATCAATCCTGTAGACACTAATGAAGGCTGAGGAGACATTTCAGCTGTTAGATTAAGGTGTTAAAAAGACAACCGCTCAGCGAGGAGATACGTTTTACTTGTGCTTTTCCTAAACGGACACTAGGGGGTGCTAAAAACTAACGCATAACTGCAAAGTTTCACTTTAACTTTTATTAATTTTCAATTAAAGCATCTTTCCGGAGTATTTCTCTTATTCGATGGCACCATCTAGGGGCTGACAAGCATATCACTCAAATTGTAAGTCGATCCGTTTTTTTAAGATGGTGACCTCACGTTTCTGTTTATAAATATGCTTCTGTAGCCGACAAACAGAGCTAAAACACATTTTACAAATATTATCCTCATGTCATGTTGTGTTCTCATATATCTATATGTCCATGAAAAGTTCATCAACTCTGCATCAGCTGAGGTACGTCCTTTAATTTGAAGCATGTAAGCAGTAGTCTAATGCTATTGGTTAGTTCTGGTTGGCACTCAGTTTTCTATTGCATGGAGCTCTGTGGAGCAGGGAGCGTGCTTAGCAAAATAAATAAATAAATAAATAAAATGACGTATTGCTTACATTATATCACAGTACATGATGAGATAATCACTTTTACTGATTTCTGACAAATCATACATCTTTTCTGAAAGAGGAAAACTCCAAAAGATACTTTAAAATAAATTCAGTTCAATTCAATACAATAAATTCAGTTTTTCTAGTGTCAAATCCTAACAAGTCATCTCAAGAATCTTTACAATGTAAACATTCCAACTGAACCTACTTATTGGGGATGTCCCATTCCAATACTGATATCGGGTCTCGGCCCAAAAACACTGTATCGGATTATATCGGACTGCATCAACAATCTCCAATATTAGCAGTACGTTCCGCTTTAAATTCCATTCCAGCTATTCTATCCAGCAGCGCCCAGATCCAGCATTCAAAGTCCACGTGATCAGAACAGTGTGTGCTAGCAAAGTAGCAAGGAACAATGTCGGCCATGTGGCTGTATTTTTCGTTTAAATCCAAAAAAGACAGTTTGGCTCAGTGCAACAGTTGTCATGCACAAGTTTCCCGAGGTGGAACAGAACCGGGGAAGATTAAAGCGTCCAACCTCATCATGCCTTTGAAGCAAGATCACAAAACATTACATGAGGATTTTTTCAGTGAGTGAAATTGAAACTTTAGACACTAAACTTGTAGCAGTTGGTCAGTGAACAATATTGTGTTTTTTTCACAATGTCCCTAACCTCGCTGTTCACATTCATGCAACCAAAGGTTAATAAAAAAAAGGTCAGTTTTTTATACTTACTGTTGCTGGCTTTAGTTTTCTGTTTGATTAATATCACTTGATCAAGCCTTTTATACATTCAACACTATGAAATAGGTAAACGTATGTATGATTTGTGCTGATATATCGGATTGATATCGGCATTGGTCAATACTGACGGCTGCAATATCGGTATCATATCAGAAGTGAAAAAAGTTGTATCAGGACATCCCTGTTACTTATCAGTTTGTTATGTCAATTAGTTAAAAGTTCCCTGTGCGAGGAAACCCAGCAGGTTGCATCGAGGCATTGACATGAGACTTTACAGCAATCCCCATACTAAGCAAGCATGTAGCGACAGTAGAGAGGAAAACTCCCCTTTAACAGGAAGAAACCTCCAACAGAACCTGGCTCAGAATGAGCAGCCATCTGCCACGACTCACTGAGGGTTTGAGAATTTCCTGGTTAAAAAGTACATATTGATTAACTTTCCCTAAAATAAATATTGCAAATAAATCTTAATGAAACTGTTTTTGTCTTACAGGTACCATTGTTCGTAAACTTCCTCGAAAGCTGGAGGTTTTAGAGGGTGAAAACGCTGCTTTCTACGTCGAGGTGGAAAATGACGATATGGAGGTCCACTGGTTCAAAGATGGTTTACAGCTACTTGAGACGCACCAAACTATCCTCAAGTCTTTTGGTAAAACTCATATTCTGGTCTTTGTCAATGTGGCCTATCATGACTCAGGAGTTGTGACATTTGTGGCAGGAAGATCCAAAACATCATCACGTCTCAAAGTTAAAGGTAAGTTTAAGATATTCTAAGTAACTTACGTACTTAAGGGTTGCCTACACCAAAAATCTGAGTAATCTTGTCTCTTATTCATGAGAAGTTATTGCAAGTCTCAGGGGCCTTAATTATAAAACTTTGCACAGAATTCTCACTACTGAAGCTCAGCAAAAGAATTTTCCCACGCAAATACATTTTCAGTTTAAAAAACAGTGCTTATGCACAGCTGCACGCAAATCCTGCTTCATAAAACAAACACTTTCACTGAAAACAAAAGTATTCATTTTTCTCTAGTGCTCCCAATGTCACTGACACAAACCTATCTAAATGCAATTTTCAGATTGATAAATTTTTCCACATCCTGCTAAAATTAGATTGTATATTAGTGCTAATGTAGAAATCTGTTTGGTGCACAGCATTCTGAAAATGAGCTGCCACCACTTTTAATGTATGTGTTGCATAACAATAAAAACAATTATTTACTGACCCAGCTCATTTTACTCCTCTCCTTGTCGACTTTTGTCAGAAATTTTCATCAAACCACTTCTGGCATTATTGCATCCAGATGGAATATTGGGATTAGTTCTAAGGCTGCACAATATTAGGAAAACCTGCGATTTGCAATAACAGTGATTAATATTGCGATGACGATATTACTTGCAATAGATAAAAACTTAACTCAGGAACAAAATTTATCAAAAACAAAGAAATAAAAAAATGACAAAAAAATATAAAAATGAAAAAAGCAAAAGATGTGAGGAAAGGGAAGAAGAAAATTAACAAGAAAAAGGCAATCAGTGGATCCCAGGATAAGCAGAATCAGCAGAAAGAGCAGAACAAAGCTAACTCAGGTGTTTGCTAACCATCAAAATTAAGTGCTGTCTGCCTCGAGGGTGGGCATCTAACCTATGAGAACCCACCCAACTGGCCAAAAGTGTAAAGAGCTCCATTTGATTTGTTAAATAAACATCATGCTTCCATTTGATTGACAGAATGCATTATGTGTAGCAAACATTTAAGCTGATCATTCATTGAGATATTTATCTGTTCTTTGTGATATGCATATTGGGCATGCATATATCGCGATAACGATATATTTGCGATATATTGTGCAGCCCTAATTAGTTCCTTCATCAGAAACTTGTCATAGCAAGTCCTTTACATGCCCTCTAAAGCCCAGGTTAAGCTTCTACGTCAGTACGAAGACACGCATATCCATTATCCATCCTTGCGAGGGCTCTACAGCAGGCTCGCAAGGATGGAACGGAGTCGAACCCACTTGTCTAAATATCCGTCAAACGAGCTTGAGAACACAAGCTTATGATTGGTCAGGACGCCGCTTTTGTCACCGCCATTGCACCCTTAAAAATATAAAGAGAGCCGAAGATTTCTAGCGATAGACTCAAAGCATCTTGGAGAATACCTCGTGGAAAAACTCTAAAAATATGAACGTTTTATTCACCCGTGACTGGAGGAGTAAATAGATGCACACGTTTTATTCGTGGATGGAAATGACGGGAAACGTGGGTTAGAGGTAGTGAGCTCATGAAGAGGTGGAGCGGAATGAGGAACAAATTTGTCCCTGTCAAAAAGTATCTGAAATACAAAAACACAATATAAACACAATAGTAAATCATGGAACAGATACAGCGCTACGCCATCTGTTGTCCTGGCAGGGAATTGCTTTGCAACACTCCCCAGGAGATGGAGAAGTCCAAGTGCAAAACGTCTCTATCACTACGTGTGCATCTCTCCATTGTAGAGCTGATGCAGAAGCAAAAACTAGGCTTAATGGAGGATTTACATATGGCTCAGGCATATTTTGGTTCTTGAGAGACAAAGTCCTGCTTCAAGTGGAGGAGTGTAAGTATGTCGGGGTCTTGTTCACGAGCGAGGGAAAGATGGAACACAACATCAATAGGTGGATTGGTGCTGCATCGACAGTGATGTGGGCAGTTTCAGTCTGTCGTGGTTAAGAGGGAGCTGAGGCGGACGCTGAAGCTCTTAATTTACAAGTCAATCTACGTTCCTACCCTTACCTATGGTCACGAGCTTTGGGTAGTGACCAAAAGAAGTATTACTAAATACTTTGTTGAGGTTGAGGGTTTGTTGATCATGTGTTCATTTATTTCTATAGCTACCAGACACTGCCCACCCATCTGTCCTTTGGGAGTCAAAATGGATGTAGACAGACCCAACAGTGCTCTACTTACCTGGGTACCAGCTCCCAACAGCCAGACCACCACACGCTCCATCTTTGTCCTAGAGAGGAAAGAAGTGGGCTCTCAAGAGTGGCAAAAGTGTTTCACCTCAGAGACTGCCACTTCAGCAGAGGTTACTGGCGACAGTGTGCCATGCGAAGGCAACTACCGTTTTCGTGTCAGCTCCATCAATAAGTATGGACGAAGTGGCCATGTGGAGTTTCCCAAGGTTGTCCATCTTGGTGAGCAGCTCAACTCATAGGAACAAAAGTAAACATGTTTTTTCCCAAAGAAAAAAAAAAGAAGATTTCTACACTTTCTATATTCTTCAGTCCCAGGGCCAAAAATTCTCTGCCGTCTTCAGGACTGTGAGACATTTGAAGGAGAAGACGTTCACTTGTCCATTGAACTTTCGGCCCCAATGCTCGGAAACTGGTTTCTGAACAGTTTACAGCTGCAGCACGGTGGGCGGTACTCAATACAACACAACAAAACAAAACACTCACTGGTGATCCATGAAGCTCAAAAAGCTGATGACACAGCAGAAATCACCTTCATTGCCAACGGAGTCCGAGATTCAGCAGTGCTCAAGGTCAAACGTAGGTGGAAGAATCTGTCCCTTTTGTTTAAATGTTTTAGATGAAGATCGCCCCTTTCATGACTTTCTTTCTTCACAGCTGCTGTGGTGAAATTCACCCCTCTGTCAGAGTCTGACAGCAATAAGAAAGTGGAAACTGGTGACACCATTGTGCTCTACTGTGAGGTCTCCCATCCATTTGCTGAAGTTTCTTGGCTCAAAGACGGTAAGGAACTCCAGGCAACCGAAGGGCTCAACATCCAGTCAGAAGGGAACATGAGACGGATTGTGATCCTGTCTGCTGATGAATCCCACTCTGGAGTTTATACGTGTGAAACCTCAGAAGACAGCATCAAATTTAACGTGGATGTCGCAGGTACAAAATCTTTTTTATTTATCTTTTGATGAAAAAAAAGCATATAGGGTTGTACACTCATGACATTGAATATGTTCTCTTGCTTTACCATTTTTAACTTTTGTTGCATGAACATCAGAACTGTATGGGTGGCGGGGCAGCCAAGTCATCGCCACATTATTTGTGCTTTAAATACACCTTTAAAGCTCTGTATACTTCACACAAAAAAAGAACTCAGATGTTACAGGCTTAATATATTCAGTCCATTTGGACCATATCCTGAAGAAAACGTCTCTTTGCAAGGTTAGTGAGAACGACATCCATTGTGTAGATCTCTTGGATGATGTTTATCCAGTTTTCAATCGTTGGAGCCTCGGATTTGAGCCATTTCCTTGTTAGAGCCTTCTTGCTTGCTGCCAGCAAAATGTATAAAAGTTTCTTGTCCTTTGAATCCAGACTGTCCATTGGTACATTACACAAATACAGAGCTTCAAATGTACGAGGGAAAACCAGTGCAAAGACATTCTGTGCATGTTCGTGTTTTCTCGACCAGTACTGAGCAGTGTCGGGAACGTTACTTTAAAAAAGTAATTATAGTTACTGATTACTTTGTCAAAAAAGTAACTCAGTTACTAACCGAGTTACGAGATTATAAAAGTAACTAATTATCAAGAAAAATAACTACTTAGTTACTTTTTCATTAAAGAATGCAAGAAAAATGGGTTCCCCTCTTAATTAAACTTACTTAATTTACTATAAATTACTACAATAGTGAAATATAAATGACTAATGTCTGGAACATAATAAAATGTATGTCCAAATGTTTTTTATAAACCTGAATAATTTAAATAAATAAGCACTTAACAGGAGGAACTACTAACAGGAACGATACACTAATCTAGACTATTAAAAGGTCACTGTGTGATATTCAACAAGACCCCAATCAGATCAAATTCAAAATTGCAAATAGAAACACCTGTAAAGGTTCCTGGGCCTTTAAATGGTCTCTCAGTCTAGTTAAATTACAGAAATAAATGTAATTTTGCACAATATTTTAATTTTTCCAGCTTCACATAATTGTGTGTTTTAGAAGCATTTCTGTTGTTGCTAATCTATTAATTGTTAAATAAATAAATAAATAAAAATCCTTTAAAATGACACTAGAACAGGCACAAATCTGATGGAGGACTAACTAGGATGTACTAACTTGGGTCAGACCCAAACACAGAAGAGATGCAGCTGGGTGGTAAACACACACAGGTAGTTCTAATAACACCTGAGCTCCATGACGTCTGAGACTGATGCATCAGTGTTACAGCGGGACTAAACACATGATCAGGAACAGGTTACAGTTGGTTGATCTATAGGAAGGTAGAAGATCGTGACGTCTGAGCGGTGAACAGGTGAGCGGACCTTCGGGACGTCCCGCTGTCACGCTAAGAAGGACACGACTGCAGATCCACACCTGCAGCCGTAGAGTATTCATCACATCTTCCTCGTTCTTGATGCGCTTGGATGAAAACATCTCCCTCTTTAGCTCCTGATCAGCTGATGACAGCATCAACATACCGCGCTGCTTAACACATGCATTTTCTTTTGATAATAGAAGACGGTAATTAATTAGATTGTTCGTTTCTGAAAAAAAAATTTTTTTTAGTAACACGGTTGTTTTAAACTGCATTATTCCCATCACTGCTCTGTTGTGTCTACAGCAGGCAGTGACTGAGACAGTGTGAACACTGAGGGTCTCCGCCCACCCGGCCAATCATCATCGGGTTTGTAAGCGTGTTACCGGCACTTCTCTCTCCCTGGCTGCAGCTTAAGTGCGGCGGTCACAAAGCCTCACACTGTTGCTCAACGTTCGACATGCACATGGTAACGCACAACCTTCCATTCCCAGTAACGGTAACGGCGTTGCAACAGTGCAAAAGTAATTAGATTATTCTGTTACCTAAAAAAGAACGCCATTACTAATGCCGTTATACTTAAATGCTGTTACTCCCAACACTGGTACTGAGACAGCGCTGGGCAGTTCCAAAAGATGTGAAAGTGGTTGGCACCATCTACCCCGCATCTCCAGCAGGAGTCGCCGAGGCCCCTGTACTTTTTCTGCTCTGGGGTGATGAAAAATCGCATTATATTTTTCCAACAGAATTCACGCCACCCATTAGATCTTGTTGTAGCCCATTGTATTTCCCATATATTTCTCCAGTTGTCATCCGTAATCGTCAAATGACCTTCTTTTTCCCGCTTTGTTTTAAAGTAAAGTGTGTTATCGTGTTTGCTTTACAAGATGCAGTTATATAACTTTGAAATAATTTTGTCGTGGGTTCCTGATTTCCTAGTTAGTGACACAAATGTCTCTATGAGTCCTTGATTGTCTATCACCACTTTCAGATCCTGGTAAATATAGTGTCTGACCAGTAGATATCGGAAGAAATCTGCTGGACCTAGTCCGTGTTGTCTTTGTAGATTTTCGAAAGATTGTAATGCCCCCTTGTGGAAAAGAGAGTGGTAGTCTGACAACCCCATCGCTATCCATTTCATACATCTGTCATCGTGTTGGTTAGGGATAAAATCTGAATCGTATGCACACCATCTTAGGATTTTTATAGCATTTTCCAAACCACAGATCTTAATTGTTTCGTTCCATGCCGTTATCATTATGTTCGGGATGGGTTCTTCATTCAAGTTGACCTTTATCTGCAATTTACGGTCCGCCAAGAGTGCCTTTACAGGGACATTTTTGATGTTTGCCCCTTCCACGTCCTTCCATCCAGCAGAGTAGGATGGAGAGCACAAACATATCAGAGGTCTCAACTGAGCCGCGTAGTAATATTCTCGCAAACAAGGGAGACCATGACCACCCATAGTTCAAAGTTAGTACTTGTGTTTTCTTTACATTAACCTTGTATCCTGAAAAGGAGCCGTAGTCTAGTAATAACTTAATGATTTTGGGTATATTTTGGGTGGGATGAGTTATAGTTAAAAGCAGGTCATCAGCAAAGAGAGCCAATTTTTGCTCCCTTCCTTCCATCCTCACTCCTGTTATGTCCCCTCTCTGCCTGATCCACTGACTCATTGGTTCGATAAACAAGGCAAAAAGGAGCGTCGAGATGCAACATCCCTGGCGGGTCCCGCGTTCCAGCACAAACGACTCGGCGAGGTCGCCATTGATTTTAATCCCGGCTGTAAGTTTTTTTTTTACCCTGAAAAAATTTTGATAAAGGAACCATAAAAACCAAATTTATCAAGTACTTTATATAGAAACGTCCAACTCACCGAGTCGAATGCTTTTTCTGCATCCAAACTAATAACCAAGGTCTCTAGTCTGTTTCTGGGCATATCTCATTATATGTAAAACTCTTTGAATATTATCTTGTGTCTGTCTTTGTTTTAAAAAAACAGTCTGGTCCTTGTGTATTAAACCTGGTAAAATTACTTCCAGTCTTCTTGACAGTAGGGATGTAAATAACTTATAATCTATGTTGAGGACACTGATCGGGCGGTAGTTGCCACATTGTTGTCTACCTTTCCCCTCCTTAGGGATAAAAGAAATTATTGCATCGCTCCATGGGGGGAGATAATCTTCTCATCCATCACCCAGTTATCAACAACGTTGGAACTAAAACTTCCTGCATTGATTTATACCATTCTGGTCCATACCCGTCCGTCCCCACCATTTTCCCTCCTTTCAATCTTTTAATTGCCAAATTAATTTCTTCCTTAGTTAAGGGGGATATTAACTTTTTGTTTTGTCCCTCTGTCACCCTTGGTAACTCGAGCTCTGATAGAAGTGCATTCTGTCCCTAATTATCATCTCGGTAGGGCTGGGAGTATAGTCGTCTATAGTAGTCCAAATAACATGATTGGATATTATCCTGTTCAACTTCCATTTGTCCATTTATGGTTTTTTTTATCTTGTGAATGGTCCTCTCTGCTTGTTGTTTCCTAAGATTATATGACAAATATTTCAGTGATTTCCCTCCATAGTAACGTTGCTTTGTGAAGAGTATTTTTTCTGTACATCTTTAGTGTTCTGGTCCTCTATTCCTTTTTTCACTCTTTGTATTTCGGATTTGATATAACTGGAAATACATTGTGAATGTCTGCGTTGTAGGTCCAGCAACCTGTCCTCTAGGAGCCAGAGCTTTTGCTGGCCTTCTTTTTTCAGAAAAGAGGAAATACTAATTATCTTACCTCTATTCACTGCTTTAAATGTATCCCACACTATCGCCGGAGACACCTCATTCTTGTTGTTATATTCTAAGTATTCCTCTATTTGCATTTTCAATCGATGTTTAATATTTGGGTCATTAACTCATTCACTGCCAGCCGTTTCCTGATCACTAACGGCCTTCGCTGCCAGCGTTTCAGAAGTCATTGTCATTGAATCACTGTTAAAGAGCTACCTCCTGCAACTCCTGTCGATGTGATCCACATATTGGAATCTGACTTTAATGACCTTTCACGTAAAGCCTCATTCCCTACGCTGTAGTTCTGGTGTAATCCTCTTATCCCCTCATTATTCCATCTTCGAGGACGACTTTGCACGGTTTTAACGGGGTAAAGGTTATTAATTTCTCAGGTCTTGGAGAGAGCTCCGTCACGGTGCTGCCATCTTGGTGACGTACAAACCGGAAGTCGATCATTAAGATTTTTAGTGAATCAAATAAAATATTTACAGTCTTCCAGAAGCAAATTTACCTTTTGTTCCAGCATCTGACAGTAATTAATCATCTCCATGTTTTAGGGCCTCCAGTAGAGTTCAGTCCCGTTCCAGAGGAAGAGCTTCATAAGAGCAGCATGGAGCTGGATCCTGTAGTTCTGTTCTGCCATGTTTCCAGAGATGATGCTGAAGTTGTCTGGTAAGAGAAAGGAAATTGTCACTAGTCTTAACCTTTCATAAAACAAATAAAAGCAACATTTAATGGTATACTGAGAAAGAATATTAAAGAAACTGTCTGAGAAAACCACAATATCAAAATGTTCTATATTTGTGCCTCACCCTGTTTTTGTTTTATAATTAGGTAAATTAAATTTTTTGGCAAGTCTGTTTTTAAATATATTTTAAAGCAGGGGTGTCAAACTCAAACTCACAAGGGGCCGAAATGAAACTCTGGGACGGAGTCGAGGGCCAAACTTAATATTTTTTGAAAAAGTGAAGGCAAATTTGCACGTTTTCTTTATCAACATGTATGCAATTTTGAACCTTTTAATTTGGAAACAAACTTATTTCTGCATTAACACTGAATGTGGAATAACCAAATTGCACACGAGCAAGTCAGTTACAAATAAAACACATCAGTGGTATTCATTACTTGTGGTATATTCAGCATTTTTAAAATCTATTCAGGATTTATGTTTTCTTGTTTATTCATTTTTCTTATTTTTTATTCTCCTTTTTTCTCCTGTAATAAGTGTCATCGCTGCTGTGACATCTAGCTTTCCCCACTGAGGAACAATAAAGGGATTTTCTATTCTATTCATCTATCTGCAGCCTTTCCACTTCCTGTTTACTGTAGGTTAAATCTTTTCTCACGTGCCAACAACAAAATAAAAATATCATTTTATCTTAAATGAAAATGCAACATCTCACCTGTTAACTTTCATGTTTTGGAGCAGAAAAAGAGCATAAAACCAACATATTTAAAGCTCAGTTTGCTCCACTGGTTTACTGTGATGCTCACCTGTTCCAGCCAGATACCTGCATCATGGGGTTGATCTGAGCTGAGGAGGAGACTCCTGTTGTTTTGTTCATCTTCATCATAATAATGACAACATTAGATGACAACAGGTGCTCACATAGATTTGTGCTGATGAACATGTCTGAGCAGCTTGACCACGTTGTTGTGTGTCGGGGGGGAAACACGACAGCAGCCACAGAGTCGTGCTGGTTTGAGCGTGTCGCTGCTCGCTGGAGTTATATCAGCTCTGTCTGGAAGTTAGTTTGAAAACTTTCTCTTTAAGTCGTGAACACATTACTGAGCGGCTAGAATCTCCGTTTCTGGGCTTCAACGTCAGAAAACAGCTGAGTGAACTCGGCGCTGAGTGAGAGGAGTGGTTTGTCCGAGACAGAGGAGCTGCAGACACCCAACTACCTCTGACTGCCTCGGCGCTGAAAAAACACAAAGGAGGGGGCGCGTCTGCTCCGCGCTGGCGCCGCAAAGCATCATGGGAGTTGTAGTCTTTGCGGTAAAATCGGCCAGGGGCCAGTTTTAATATATTTTTTATATTTATCTCGCGGGCCACATAAAAATGCTCCACGGGCCGCATCTGGCCCGCGGGTCTTGACTCTGACATATGTGTTTTAAAGGAATTTTCAACCTTTTCGGAGTAAAAAAAAAGTTCAAAGTGGTCCTAGGATATAAAAACGTTGTTGTTTGTTGTTTTTGAATATAGGCAACTTGAGGTGTCTAATGTAGCATAACAAAAAGTCTTTGTCCTGTCCAACTTGCACTCCTATGCTATTTAGTAGGGTTGTAATGGCCACAGAGAAACTGTTAGTTCTGAGGGAAGCTGGTTTAACACAACATAGACATTGTTCACTGTAATGCTAACAGAAGAATAATGCTAGCCTGAGTTACTGCTAACGTCCTTATTGGATAAATAGAGAACAACAAAGAAAATTGTTGAAGCTCTCACGTTCCAGGATGTCATGGGATTATCCATATTTTGAAGGAATGCCAGATAGATCCACAGTTTGCACTTCTTGTTCTCTCCACTTGTAATAAAAAAACAATTCTTTCTAGTACACCTTTAAAGAGGTCCTTCACCAAGAAACCATTTTTACTTATTGATTTTGAAAATAATTGGTCACTCCTAGTTTAACATGAAGGCTGAACATGATAATAGACCCCTACACCTATCTCCTGCATTATCTACAGATTGCTGTTAGCCAATCAGAGGCGAGTTGTCCAAATATCAGGAAATAAGAATCCAAATCCTGTCGTCTGAAGCTACCTTGTCCTCCAGCTGACTTCTACGTGCTGAAACAGGTGCACCCCGCATAAGCATACAGCCAAACAAATGGAAAGATTCTAGCGCTGATTAATCGTCCTAGTCCGCCCCTGGTAGCAGCCATCTTGAATCAGGTTTACTTCAAAAGTTAATCAGTTGTAGATGTGTTTTCGGACATTTTCTATTCACTGTTTTTATTTCAACAAACAAATGGTGGAAATGATTTTTTAAAGGGTTATTAATGCTGGTGTTCAACTATCCTATGAAAGATTGACGGGTTTGTTTTTGTAAAATTTATTTCTAAGGTACAAGGATGGCTGTGGGATCCAGCCAACTGACAACATTACTCTGCAGGCAGAAGGAACCATGAGGAGGTTGATCATCCGCTCTGCAGAAACCGCAGATGCTGGAAGTTACACATGCCAGGCTGGAAACAACAGCATGGAGTTTACGGTCAACATCAAGGGTATGCCGCTGGTTCAAGCTGTGTTGACATACTGATTTGCAGAAATTTAACACATCATTGTGTAAAAATTACTTGCAGAGCCTCCAGTGATGATTGTGGAACCAAAGAATGATGTTGTGATGGAGAGCTTCATATCAGATGAGATCAACTTGCAGTGTGAGTTATCTCGTTCCAGCGGCAAAGTGCAGTGGTTCAAGAATGGCCACCAAGTATATGAAACCGATAACATCCAGCTGCTATCAGAGGGTCCTTACAGGAAGTTGACCATCCTCAGCAGTTCAGAGGAGGATAGCGGAGAGTATGTCTGTGAAACAAATGGGGACTCTGTGTTTTTCCAGTTAATTATTACAGGTAAAGCTTCTAACTGCATAATATAATAATATGTGAATGGTGAATGTTCTAAACATCACTCAAATGTCCTCCTTCTGTACCAGAGCCACCAGTAAGAATCGTTTCTCCGGGCGAATCAGAGGTGGAACTGACCCATATTGCTTTAGAAAGACTGGAACTGAGCTGTAAGATCTCTCAAGCAGACGCTCCAGTTCGGTGGTACAAAGACAGTTTGGAGGTAGAAGAGGGCCAAAACTTAATCCTGGAAGAAGACGGGGCCAAACGGAGGCTAGTTATTCCTTTACCCACTGTGGAAGATACAGGAGAGTACATATGTGACACTGAACATGACTCAGTGGCCTTCCTGGTTACTATTACAGGTAAGCAGGAGGATATAAATCTTTTCTAAAAATACAGTGGTTATTTCTCGTTTCCAGTCACTGCTTTCCTTCTTTTTGTTTAGAGCCACCTGTAACATTGAGTCATCCTAAAAATATCCCTGACAGACTCGAGAGTTTTGTTGGTGAACCGGTTGTTCTGGAGATTGAGGTGTCACGGCCAACAGCAGAAGTTAAGTGGTGGTTTAATGGCAAAAAAATTGAGCAAAGCAATAACATCACAATCATAGAGGATGGACTTGTTCGCCGTCTGACCATCAAATCTCCAATGCCAGAGGATTCTGGGAAATACACTTGTGACGCTACTGACGATAAAGTTGATTTCCAGGTCAAAATTTCAGGTAGGAGGCAAGGACTGTTGGAATAAGCACCTTCTGGGTCTTAAAAAGTATATACTATTGACTGTTTTATTTCTTCAGAGCCACCAGTGAAGATCTTAAGAAAGTCAGAAATAAAGACAGACCTAAAGTTCCTGTTTTCAGATGACATTGTTCTGGAGTGTGAGCTCTCCAGAGCAAATGGGAAAGCCAAGTGGTATAAGGATGGCTATTGTGTTGAGGGAAATGAAAGGTTCTGTGAGGAGGAAGAAGGTGCTTTTCGCTCCTTGGTGATTCTTAATGCTGAGCTTGGAGACTCAGGAGAATACTTCTTAGATGTTGGAGAAGACAGCATTGGCTTCAAGGTTGCCGTAGAAGGTATTTCCCAGATAAATATCTGCTGTTTAAAATGAATTACTTGGGGGGGGGGAATAATGAATGAATCACTTATGTTCTTCCCTTAGAGCCTCCAGTGATCATTGTAGGAAACTCATGTGATCCTGATTACCAAGAAATGATGGCAGGTGATGACCTAATTTTGGCCTGTGAGGTGTCCCGTGCCAATGCCCCAGTCCAGTGGTACTTTAATGATGGGCTTCTCGCCAGTGACTCCCGTACCTGCATTGAGAGCTACGGAACCCTGAGGAAACTCATCATCTCATGTATCCAGCCCTCAGATTCTGGAAAGTATGTGTGTGATGCCGTGACTGACAAGATGGTTAACATTGTTAGAATTCAAGGTACAAACCCAAAATTTAAGTTTTTTATAACAACAAAGAGAAAAATGTCAAAAGAGTGATTTTTATTCTTTCATTTCCAACAAAGAGCCTCCAGTTTTATTTGTGAACAAAGAAGATGGCACTGTTGTGACGGGTTATGAAGCTGAGGGCTTGACCCTAACAAGTTACGTGTCCAAAGAAAGCGCCACTGTTCGATGGCTGAAAGACTGGACGCCAGTCGAAGGTGAACGGTTCAAAGCACTCATGAAAGGCAATGAACGCACACTCACCATTGACCCTTTGAGGCGCTCTGATGCTGGCGAATACACCTGTGATGTCAACACAGACCAGATACACTTCAGTCTACTTGTGAAAGGTTCAGGCTTGCATCTTATTTTACCACTTACAAAGACACTTGTAAAGAACCCAAATTTAGGCCTAAAAAGCTGTTGAAATCCCCCATCTTTTGTATTACAGAAATGAGAATCAAGTTTTTGCGGCCCCTTCAAGACATGGTGGCTCATGCTGATGGCATGGTGACACTGCGTTGTGAGGTATGCAAACCAAAAGCAGATGTTCAGTGGCTCAAAAATGGTATTGAAGTTGTCCCAAGCAGAAGATTTTCCATTCGGGCGAATGGAGTTGAACGAAGCTTGACCATCCATCGTTTAACTCAAGAGGATGCAGGGCAGTATACTTGTGAGTCCAGAGATGACCAGACCACTGCAACACTGAGAGTAGAGTGTAGGTATACATATAACCTTATTTTTTTTCTAACTTTTCCTAATATGAGTAAGCAGCTTAGTTCTCTACTTAATGTCTCTTCAGTGCCTCGAGTTGTTGAATTCCTCACAGAGCTTCACAACACAACTGTGCTAGAAGGAGAAGATGCCACCTTCAAATGTGTAGTTTCTCCTGAGGATGTTCAGTTGGTCTGGCTTATGGATAATGAGCCGATTACATTGAGCAATCGTTTCCAAGCAATACAACTTGGCTTGTGCCACACCTTAGTGATAAAAAAATGTCAACTGTTGGACTCCTCAAGGGTTACAGCAGAAGCTGAAGGAAAGATGAGCAAGGCCAGTCTCAAAGTTCAGGGTAAGGCAAGGATAAAATTAGACAACAGACAGTGTATCACTCAAACAACAAGGAGTCTGTGATCCTCATTTGGACCTCTCTTTATTATCAACAGAGGCCCAGGTCATGTTCACAAAGAAAATGGAGGCTGTTACGGCAGAAGAATTTGGTGAAGCCACCTTGGAGACAGAGATTAGCTTGGAAACCGGTGAAGTCCAATGGATGAGGCAAGGAGTGGTCATCCAATCTAGTCCTCGACATACGCTGGGCCAGAATGGTTGTAAACGCAGCTTAACAATCCACAACCTAACTATGTCTGACCGAGGAACTTACCGCTGTGAGACTCTACATGACCGGACGCAAGTCAAACTCAACATAGAACGTAAGCAGTCTATGATGCGATGTAGATAAAGAAACATATCCTTAAGCCTAATTTATACTTCTCTGTCTGCATCGGTACGGAGACACGCAAAGCCATTATGCATCTGCACAAGAGCTCTCTGACTGGCTTGCGGAGGGTGACGGAAACATGCCCAAAAGTATTCATTAAAATTGACGGAGAATGCAAGCTTGCGATTGGTCAGGATAAATGGTCAGGTAAATTCATCAAGAGCATTGCCTTTGCTCCCTCAAAATGTATAAGGATTTTTAGCAGCAGACATGGAACAGATTGAAGAACACATCACGGAAAAAGTCTAAAGGTTTATTCACCTGTGACTGAAGGAGTATAAAGATAAGCAAGCATTTTATTCGTGGACGTAAAAGACGAGAAACGTGAGTTTAGAGGTGCTGATTGCACAAAGAGGTGAAAGGCTGACAAATTTGTTCGTGTTCAAAAGTCTTTGAAATACATTTAAACAATGTAAACACTATAGTAAATACACTATTGTGGACTGGATACGTGACTGCAATGGTGGCAGGATAAATTGGAATAGCGCTACGCCCTCTGTTGTCCTAACAGGGAATTGTTTTGCCACACTCCCCAGCTGACGGAGAAGTCCAAGAGCAAAACGTCTATGTCAATGCATGCATGTCTCTTCCTCGTGGAGCTGATGGAGAAGTATAAATTAGGCTATAGACTGGGGACAAACTTGGTACTTAAAGAGATCCTTCACTGAGAAACCATTTTTTGCTTATTGTTTTTGAAAATGACTCTGCATTTAATATGCAGGTTGAACTTGTAAATTGTGTCCTACCCCCATTTCCTGCATTAGCTTCAGATAGATAGATAGATAGATAGATAGATAGATAGATAGATAGATAGATAGATAGATAGATAGATAGATAGATAGATAGATAGATAGATAGATAGATAGATAGATAGATAGATAGATAGATAGATAGATAGATAGATAGATAGATAGATAGATAGATAGATAGATAGATAGATAGATAGATAGATAGATAGATAGATAGATAGATAGATAGATAGATAGATAGATAGATAGATAGATAGATAGATAGATAGATAGATAGATAGATAGATAGATAGATAGATAGATAGATAGATAGATAGATAGATAGATAGATAGATAGATAGATAGACTAAAACCCTGCTTTGAAGCTTTTAGGTGCCCAAAAAACTATATGTTGTTAGGCAAACAAACAGATAATGCCAATGCTAATCAATGATCAAAATTACAGACAAAGGTTTATCTCATGGACAAACACCACCAACAAGTGACTGTGTAAAAAATAAATAACTCAGTTAATATTTTTTGTCATTAATAATTAGAAAATACACAGATAACTGATATTATATGTAATTCATATTTATTAAGTAAACATTTGAGATTTGAATTTAAAGCACATTAAGAAAGCATTAAAAGTGTTTTACTTTTTTTTTATTCATAGCACTGCATAACCTTCAACCCACCATTTTCACTGTTGTGATCCCATCGCTCACTTTTTTTTGTACTTTTTACCACTGCCAGATAGTTGAAATTAAAATAAAAGTTTCAGTTATCATTTTATCTGCTACAGATGTAGTCTGGTAAAGTAAAAAGCTAAATGTGTTGTGTTCCCAACAGCATGTCATTGTGAAAAAAGGTACTTAAAATAGCTCAGCTTGACCTACAAGTGTGAAGAAACAGCCTTCCAGTTAGATAACACTGAGTGACACAGTGACAATGGTCAGCTTTCAAGAGTTGCTAATGCTGTGCTAACACTGTCTTTATTTGGACTCTATTTTGTTGTCCTTGAAAGACAAAATATCAATGTAGTGTAGTGAGAAAGTATTAGATATGGTAAAGAATACTTTTACTTACACCAAATATCTCCCAAAAATACTTAAGGAAAGATTTTTTTTAATATGGTTGCAAAAATGTAACAGCTATGTGTATCATTTTTTCCATCATGTTTTATCCCCTCTAATCCAGCTCGAAAGATCTCCATCCGCAAAGGTCTAACTGACCAAGAAACCTTTGAAAGAGAGGCCGCCTCCTTTGAGGTGGAGCTCTCACACACAGAAGTGGAAGGGATTTGGCAGAAGGATGGCATCCGGGTGAAGCCAAACAACCAGTGGCGAGTGAGCACCAACGGGCTCGTGCATGGCCTCACTTTGTCCAACTTGACGCTGGAGGACACGGGTACCATTGTCTTCTCAGCCGAAGGGGTGCGCACCACTGCAAGGCTAACAGTCAAAGGTGAATACAGACAGTGTGGCTTTTCTTGATTAAAAAAACAATTTTCATCTATGTAAAGTGTTCTTTTACTTTGTGTGGTTTAATGACTGGCTATCTTGATTCACAGAGACACCTGTGGCAATCCTGAAACCCCTTACTGATGTCCGTGTAGAAGAGGAGTTACCTGCCACTTTAGAATGTGAATTCTCCAGACAAAACGTGGGAGTCCGATGGTTTAAGGTGAAGAAAATTCTAAAATGTTATCACTTTCCATGACAGGTATGATGTTTTCTCGTCTATTTCTCAAAAGGATGGAATAAAAATGCTTTCTTTCCCATATTAATCAGAACGGATCTGAGTTGAAGCCAGGGAAGAACTATCGGATCTACTCCACGGGTCGAAAGCGGATTTGCCAGATCCTTCAGTGCTCCCTGGCCGATTCTGGCTTTTATAAATGTGACACAGGAGAACTCAACACTTCCTGTTCGCTAGAGGTTTATGGTAGCTATCAACACAAAATCTTTACTATCTAAATCTTAGCTTATAGTTTAAATCCAAACTAATCTAAACTTTTTAAAAATCAATGAAGTATGAATATCAACTGTCCTGTGCCTCCATCTGGTAGGCAAAGCCAAGAATGATTGTTTTATTCCTGCAGAGCATAAGTTGGAGATGGTGCATGATCTTGAGGATCTTTACATCCAGGAAGACCAGAATGCTGTCTTCATGTGTGAGGTTTCTCTGGCGGATGTTATTGGGGACTGGTATAAGGATGGTCACAAGATTCGCCCCAGCAGCACCACAAAGATACGCACTGAAGGTCAGAATCTGAACGTATTGATAGGTGTTAGAATAGTTCTGAGAAGATGTTTGGGTACCTGGCTGTCTGCCTCTATGCCTGTCTATCATTTATTTCAATGAGAATTAGGGCTGCACGATATTAGGAAAACCTGCGATATTCGATAACAGTGATTAATATTGCGATATCGATATTACTCGCGATAAATGAACAAATACTAAAGTATGCAGTGTTGATGTCGTCTGGCGTGTGATGTCTGCTCTGGGTTCAAAGCAAACAAAAACTAATGCATGAATTCCATTACAACATAATATTTTTATTGCAAAAATATGCAGCTGCACCTGCTACTGTATTAGCAGCTGCACCTGCTACTGTATTAGCAGCAAAACAACAAACTGCATGCGTGCAGGTTCTCAGTGACTTTAAAACATCACCTCCACCATAAAACTTTTTCTGATGCTCCAAATACAGAAAAACATCCCTTACCAGGGTTTTTTGAATAAATAAAAAAATCAGAAAATAAGTTTAAATGTTAAATAATAGTTAACATCACTTAAATGCAACAGCAAATTCTCTCATTGCTACTGAACATTTTCTCCACTTATGTGGTTATGATATAAGGCTGTTGCTGCAATGGGAAGTGAACTGTGCTGGGCCAAACTAGGAGAATATTAAGATTTTCTGAGGGAAAGAGAAAAACAATTGTCTACCTTTCAGAAGAGGAACTGGCAAAAAAAAACTACATGGAAAATATGTGAAAACGTTTGGTTTTAACCCCAAATTGAACAAGTTTACCTAGATCTTAAAAAGCAGCTCAGATGATGAAACTGCAACTATGATTCTGATAACAAGCTAACACATTAAACTAGCTCCTCTAATACAACCGGCTAGCAGAGCTTCTGACTGACAGTTTATGTGCAGCAGCAAATCAACTATCCTGATTAACAAGGTTAAAAAAGCTCATAAATGAAAAATCACTTTGATGTGTGGAGGAACTTTTACAGACCCTCTTTAGCAGCTCAGGGTGGGACTGGGAGGAGAGTGCTGTAGCCTTTTAGCTGGAAGCTAACCGGAGCCACCACCCAGTGGAACACTAGCGACATGGAGGTAGGTGGGTTGGTTCACCGGCACGTGTCGGAGTCAGCCCCGGTAAAAATGCTTAACGACACCAAGCGGACTCGCGTTCACGTTTGAACGCAGCGCTGATTCCAGAAACATCGGCACAAAGTGCGTTCATTGCTCTGAGCCAGCAAGACGAACAAGGGAACGGCGCCGCTAACTCAGTTCGGGTGTTGCTTTCCATCCTAAGGGTCTACGTAGGGGGCGGGCGTATTACGTGAACGGACCCATCTGATTGGCCGCATATCAGAAGGGCTACATTTGATTGGTCAAATAATACTTCTGCGCAAAAAACAGAGCTGGTTTACAAAAAGTTGATGTATGACACGGATGAAAATGTTTGAACCAAACATTTATCGCCGTTTTTGACGTGCTTTGCGATGGGCCTATGGCACGTCCTGTTATCGCGATGACGATAATTTTTCGATATATTGTGCAGCCCTAATGAGAATAATAATTGGTGTCAACCTCCAGGGACCAAACACTTCCTGCTGATGTGTAACGTCAAAGCTGATGATGCTGGGGAAATCCGCTTTGTAGCCAGAGATGTTGAATCAACAGCTTATCTTGAAGTCGAAGGTGAGTCCTTTTTTCCGACACTGTTCTCGTGTTACCAATTTCAAATTAAATACGTAAAAGATTCCTCTGATTTCAGAACTTCCTCTTGCCATCGTAAAACCACTAAGAGACAGAACAGCACTGGAGAAACATCGGGTTATCCTCGAATGCACAGTTTCCTCCCCTCACAGCAGCGCAACTTGGTATAAAGACAAAGAGGAGCTGGTTTCTTCTGATCGGGTGGAGATTTTAGAAGATGGCTGCATCCATAAACTGGTAATCCAGCAGGCAACTGTGGAGGACGAGGGCACCTATATGATCAAGGTTGGGGAGCACACCTCCAAAGCTAAACTGATGGTTGAAGGTAAGCTCAAAGAAGAGCTACATTTTATCTTTATCCTTGGATATGCTGGTTATTTTCTGACATTATGGTGCTTTAATGCAGCTCAGGCTCTAGCGATGATGAAGGACCTAAAGGACGTGGAGGTGACAGAACCAGAACTGGCGTCTTTCCAATGTGAGGTATCTGTTGCTATAAGCAAGCCTCCAGTTTGGACTTTAAATGGAGTGACCCTTCGATCAGGCCCTTCTGTTCGCCTGGAAGAGCAAGGGACAGTCCACAAGCTCATCCTGAAGGACACTAATGTGGACATGAATGGGACAGTCAAGTTTACTCTGGGCAAAGCAAAAAGCAGTGCCACTCTAACAGTGAGAGGAAAGTAGAGAAATGGATGTAGAAAGGAAACAAGCTGATTCTAAATAAGTGCCCAAAACTCCACCATTCTCCTTGGACTTCTCATCCTCATGCTCAAATTTTACATTTAAATGACGATAGACTGAATGAACATTTAGGTCAGCCAAGATAAGCAATGTTTTTTACAGTGTAGATATTATTTACTGTCATTTGCATACTAATATTTTCAGTAAACTTCTTAATACATTCTTGTATTTTTGGTGAAGTTATCAATTAAAAAATTAAAATGTACAAATAAAAACATATAAAAAATAAATAACAGCATTTGTTTTATTTTGTAATATCCATAACACTAATTTGTGTTGTGTGTGTGTCTGGGGGGTGCGCCGGACCGGGGCTGGTCTTTGTTGTGAGGTGTGGCGCGAGAGCGTGTGATGATGGTCAGATACCGGAGTTGGCAGCCCTGACAAAATATACTTCAAGGATTAATCAAAACGCAAAGTAATTAAAACTATTAAAATGCAACGTAATCAAGACTATTAAAGACTTGATTCTTAATGGGTCAATAATTCAGTCCAACGGAAGTGAGCTGATTCAAAATAGTTGTTGAATTTGAGACAGCATTAGCATTAGCGTAGCATTTATCTGCAGGGTTGACGGCTTCTGTGGCTTTAGAAATCTCTTTTCACTTACCTCTTTCATAAACATGTCTGGAACTGTCAAAACTCATTTACCCGTTTATATTTCCCAGATTTTTTTTCCTTCTTCTAATTTTTCATCTTGTTTTGCACCATTGTTAGTTGCAGCAGCACCACTGTGCGAGCCTAAGCCACGCCCATCTACTTCCGGACCATTCCCCCCCCCCCCCCCCCCCCAATAATAACAACGAATGGGAGTTTTTGAAGATGTGTTATTTTCTGATCCCGTCTGATATGAGCCATGGATTTCACATATGATGTTCGTGAATTTTAAAGATAAATTTTGATGCCAAGAAAATGCTTATTTTCAAACCGCGGCAAAACTTATTTTAGGTTTTGTGTGAGAAGATGTAATACAAATGTTTGTAGTCAACCAAAATTATTTCATTGAAACAGACAGAGAAGAAAAATGGTTTTGAGTTTATCAAGCTTCACATCCATCCTGAAATACTCAGTATGTGTTCAATATTTGTGCAATATCAGATTTACATAGTATGTCTGTCCCCTACAGTATGCTGCATAGTTAGAACCCATGTTTGTCATTTTTATTTGTGGTTTTTAGTGGTTACAATAATAGCACACTGCCTAGGTGTATAATTAGCAGAGGTGGACTCGAGTCATTATTTTAATGACTTCTGACTTGACTTGATAAAATCTATAAGACTTACGACTTGACTCGGACGGAACGCCAATAACTTGCGACTTGAATCGACTTGCATCTGTTGACTTGATGATGACTTGACTATAACTGATATTTTAGCACAAAAGTGGCACGACATGGACACAAATCATGAATCATTCTTCGTTCTGGGTTTGATTTACTGCTAAATGCAGCAGCACTTCGTTTAGAATCAGTTTCAGTTGCACTTTCTGCTTGTTTGAGCAAATAAATGAAGCTTTAAGAAGCTTTATTTCTGGAATTTATTTATTATCATTGTCATTAAATTGAAGTGGGACAGATGACTTGATTAGGACTTGAAAATTAATAGTTAAGAACATGGACTTGACTTGGACTTCCACATCACTGACTTTGAACTCAAGTTGGACTTGGTTGTCTTTGACTTGGACTTGACTGGAAAGACTTGTCACTTATTTGTGACTTGCAAAGCAGTGACTTGGTCACACCTCTGATAATTAGTTTTCTTCAAATTATTCTCGTTGGTGCTGCTGTAACAAGTGAATTTCCCCACTGTGGGATCAATCAAGTCAGTCACATACACACTGGTGGAGGGTGAGCTGTAGTCACAGCTGCCCTAACAGAGGTGAAGCCTGCTGAGTACTGGCACCACCGGTCCCTCCGACCACCACCAGCAGGCAAGGCAGGTTAGGACACAACAGCAGAACTCTATGATTGGAGCCGGGATCAAACCTGCAACCCTCTGATTACTGGACCACCTCCTGAACTGCTGTCCCTATGTAAAACAATTGTAAAGAAAGTAACAAAACTTTTTTTTTTTAGCTATTTGAGCTCAGTTAAATATGTTAGCTTCAAATTTTGTTGGAAGAAAAACCCAATTTCAAATGATATGCACACAAAAAGGCTCTTTTAGTATTTATGAGGGGAAATGAAATTATTACATACAGTTCATACAATATTTGGTATGATAAAACAACAAAACCCAAAAAAGGTGTTACATCTATCGAATCATGAGTACAGTCAAATGAATGTTCCATATATTAATGTAATTTGTTTGCTTTATTACTGTGCAAAACAACATATACAAATCTATTTATGCGTAATAAGTACAGTATCAGCAAATGGATCCACACAGTGACACAATACTTGTTATGAATGTAATCAGATGACTAGATAAACTGAATGTTCCTATAAATACATGTTGCCGATGAGTCCAAAACAAATCTAACCAATGTGAAGATGGCTTACATTAAATACACATTTCAAAACAGTTACCCAGTTACGTGGCCCCAACAATCAGAAACTATCTATTTTTGAGTTATTCGCTGGCGGTTCTGATCCTACCTACTTATATACGAGGTAAGCATCAGATTTCTTGTGAAAACAGCAAGAACATAATTTCCAATTGGAAAACAGGCCATAAATAGTGTCGGAGGACCACTTCAGGGCAAAAATGAGAACAAAAACAGTAATCACTCAACCACAAAATGGCTAACTCGATTGAGAAGAATTTGCTATATAAAAATAATGCAATAGCTCTTTATGTGGTGGATTTAAGTCTTCCCTGCACCATCAAAAAGCCTGCGAACCAGGCTCGTAGTCCAAGCCACCATTTTCATTCATCGGTGTCAAACAAAGGACATTGTCATCGCAATTAAAGGAGATCAAACGGAAGAGACCATGCGTTACAAATCTCATGGAAAACACGATTTACAAGGTTGTTTCTTTTTTTAAATCCAGCCTTACATAACAATGTGATTGCAGTTGACTACATTTCCCAGAAAGCCTTTGGCCTCAACATGCAGAATCCATTTGTTGCAATCAAAAAAAAAAAAATGTTGATGTGCTTGCATTTTACTATGGAATTCAAGTTAAAGGTAGACCGGTTAACCATTAACCAAACAAAAGGTATTTGTAAAGAGTCCAAATTCTTCCAAGTGTTACACACGACGTTTATTTAAATGCATGAGTTGTTATATTTTGGTTCCAAAAAAAAAAAAAAAACCACTACGTAAAAGGGATGCATTGGGACTTGTATCGGCCTATGAAAAACGCACATCGGTCAACCTTTCATAAAAATTGTTATAGTCTTTGTCCAAAAATCCACACAATTCTCAGGCAAGTAACACAACTAACCCACAAGTACAGAGTAAAAGTCAGAGGACTTCATTTATAGTGTTCGAGTGTTTTAAAGTGGATTTTTCCCCTAAATTTGAACTTGACTGAACCATTAGAACCAACGTACAAGCCTGTTTCCAGCCTGCAAGTACCGCTTAAAGAAGAAAACCATAAAAAAACAAGACAGCTCAGTCATCCAAACGTCTGTCAAATAAAACAAAAAGATCAAGATTTTGCCGAGCTTTTAAAGCGAGGAACAAAACCAGAAACACCTGAAGCTACCATGTTTGAAGCACCACTAACAGTGACTAATTCCTGACTTTTTGTTGTTTGTTTTTACTCTATTTTGGAAGACAGTCCTGGTCCTCTTAACTCTGGAATCGACTGGTCATGAGATTCACTGACAGAAAAGTGCAAGTTTTTTGCATTCTGGCTGTCAACCTGGTTTGAAATCGTCCCTATACAACCCAAACCTAAGAGCTACTCGTTCGCTTGCTTGTGCTGACGGGTTTGATATTAACTAATTAGTGCCAGGTTCTAGGGAGGACACTACTGTAGCTCTAACCTAGTCACGAAACAGTTTCAACTGGACCGATTGCAAAAATGTAAAAACACAACTTGTAAATTTTGCCTAAATACACCCTACATTCCCGTATTTCAACTTTTCGTTCATTTATTTCATCTTATTTTCTAAACATTTTGTGCACAAGTTGCGCAAAAAGATCTGCAGTGAAAGGGGTCCTTGCACTATAAACTACACAATAAACATGTAAAGTGCTGTCCAATCATTTCAGTATTCTTTATAACTTAATTATATAATGACATTACAGCCCCAGCTGTAATCTGTTTTTACTTTTAAGGATTATAATCATCTATAACACTGTCATAAATTTGCAAAAATACTTGTCCTAAAACCTCTAAAATGACACCCAAGGATCTATTTCTTTTCACTGCAGATGAAAAGTGTGCCACCTAGCAAAAGGAAAGCGTGTAATTACGCAAAACATTTACAATCTTTAACACTTCCATATCGATTGAGTGACCGATCTAAATGTGTAAACCTTTTCCAAAAACTTCTTGCTGCTTGCGATCAGTTTACAGGACCAGTGGTGGTGAAATCCAGTACCCAGGCACTGTCCAGAGGATCTGTGGCTAATGAGTTCTGCACAATTATCCTTAAACATTCATCCTTTTATCCACGTGAGCTGGTTCGTGTCAGGCCAGTTCAATGTCTGAACAGTAGGTGGCGGCGGCTTTGCCGTCAAAGTCAACGAAGGCCAAATAAAAGATCTCTCTGGAACTGAGAGGGTGGAGGCTCCGTCAGCTGTGAAGCAGCCTGTGTTCTGGTGGGCAGTGATATCTGGAACTGGAGCCCAGCTGGTGTGTGCATTTTCTTTGTTTTAAAACATTTTTAACACCGATATGTTCAGAGGTGAGATGAAGAGTTGAGCGCCGTTAGCTCGCGGTCCCTTGTTGCTTGAGGACTGTGTAGACGTTGTCCACTTTGCTCAGCCTTTCGAAAAATGGGATGAGGTCCAGCAGCTCGGTATCGGACATGTCATCAAACCACGAGATTACAGGCACCTTAATTATAATAAAATATATATATGTATTATTAGCAACAACACAAAGTTCCCGTAATTAAAATAATAGACAAGTGTCATCAGCGTAATCTTGGAATCACGCTTTATGTGAACTCACTGCATTGTCAGGATGGAAGATATAGGAGGCAGGAGAGTTGTCCACAATTATGACCTTGTTGAGGTCCCGACCCAGGCGACTCAGGTCTTTGACGTAGTTACCTCGGTGGAAAACACAAGACTCTCTAAAGAGGCGGCAGCGGAATGCTCCCCATTTGTCCAGGAGATCAGACACCGGGTCTGCGTACTGATGCAAGAACAGATTACAATTAGTGGGTAGTTTAGTACACTAACACAATATACTCACTCCTTTTTAGTGTATTAGCAATATATAAGGGTTACAATTGAGTCAGTCTGTTCAATGTAAGGGTGGACAATATGTAAAATATTCAAACTGATATTTAGTTCAACAAATGATGATGGGCGATATATTTGAGGAGATAGGTGTAGGAGACTATTTTTATGTTCAGCCTGCATGACGGTTATAATCATTAAATCGATTAATTTAATATTCATTAAAAAATGGGTTTTCAGTGTTCCAGACCTTTAATCAATTTGTGACAGCAGACCACAAGGATTTCACGAGAGATTTCATTGTTGTCTGAATTTCCTTGGCTATTCGATGCATCAGTCAACAATACACTGCGCCGCAATTGGTTCAAGCTACATTTGAAAATAGGGGGAAACACTACTGACTTATTAGCCAGTAGGTGAAGATTTAGCCTCCAAAGAGGGCTAACCCCTTCACCTGTTTGATCAGGTAAGGTTGTTGATCAAAGTTAAGTTAATACGAGGACGCTAACAGAGGATATGATGAAAGGTTGGTGAGAAAAATGAATCTGAATGAAATTTAGAATGTTTTCAACAGCATATTATGTTGCAGCATACTAAGATTTGTGGACAAAATATGTTATTGGACTCTTGTAAAAATAATTTTTTTCTAGATGGCTCTATTTTGTGAATGATATACAGGGGCACCTCCAGAAAATTTTGGAATTTTTTGGGTTGGCACACCAAATTGTCCTTGTTGTAACTGTGGGAGAGTTTAGCCTGTGGCGATGTGCTGCATTGCTCCTTTATTTGTTTATATATATATATATATATATATATATATATATATTTTAAAAATAAATAAATAAACAGTATGCATCCAAAACATTTGACTTAAATTTTACAAACACAAACATTTCAGAAAAATACATTTCAGTTATTTAAAATGTTATTTAAATTTTTATTAGAAAATGTATGTTTTTTTAGTTTAATTCACCTGTTGCTGTGTGTTCACAAAAAACTATGGAGATAAAAAAAATGTACTGGATGAGCAGCAGAAACGTATGTAATTTTTCAGTCAGATTTTTTCTTTACTCATTAATTGTATTATTTTTATTTTGTTTTACAATTATGTCTTCAATAAATAAGATAAATTTATGGTTTGAGTGAACATTAATATAATTTATTAACACTGGCTTTTGGTGGGGGGTGGGCAGCAATTTTCTAGGGGGGGGGGACCCCTTGGGGGCACCATTGATGATATAAAGCTTCAACCATAAGTTACACATAATTTTGAACTTACGAGTGGTTTGACAAAAACATTTACCGTGCTTAAATCGTTGATTGCCATAAATCACTGGAACAACAAGAATTCCAGGTTTCTACTGATTTATAACATTTACATGTACGTAGAGAGAATAGCACAAAACAAATTGCAACTGGAGTAATTTGGAGGCTTGAAGAAAAAACATTGCTCTTAAAAACAATCAGGGAAGGCCTCAACATTTCTGAGATGTTTGATCAATTCGTCCAATCGCCCAACCTTAGTGAAATAATAATAATAACAACAATAATAATAATACATTTGATTTAAAAGCACCTTTCAGGACACCCAAGGTCACTTGACAGGAAAATACATTCAGTAAAATACATTAAAACAACAATAAAATACAACGAAGAAAAAGAATGTAGAAAAATAAACAATTCAAATAAAACCTGAGGTCATAGGCAGATTTGAACAGGTGTGTCTTGAGTCTGGATTTGAAAAGGGTGAAACTGTCAATATTTCTGATGTCTGGGGGGGAGTGAGTTCCAGCCGCTCTGCTCCCCATGGTAGTGAGACGGGCAGAAGGAACAGCAAGATGGAGGGAGGAAGATGATCTGAGGGAATGGGAGGGGGTGTTAATACTTATAAGGTCTGAAATATATGGAGGAGAGAGGTTGTGGATGGCTTTGAAGGTATGGAGGAGAAGTTTGAAGATGGACCTGAATTTAACTGGAAGCCAGTGAAGCTGCTGGAGAATCAGGGTGATGTGGTGAAAGTAAGGTGTTCTGGTGATAATACAGGCTGCTGAGTTCTGGATCAGTTGAAGTTTATGAAGGAGTTTGTAGGGGAGACCAAAAAGAAGTGAATTGCAGTAATTGAGACGGGAGGTGACGAGGCTGTGGATGAGAATGGTGGCAGTGTGAGGGGTAAGGGGGGGCGGAGACGGTTAATGGAACGAAGATGGAAATAGGCTGACCGAGTTATGTTATTGATGTGAGCTTGAAAAGAAAGTGAGCTGTCGAGGATGACACCCAGACTCTTGACCTGAGGGGAGGGGGAGATTGTGGCGCTGTCAATAGTTAAAGAAAAGCTGTCAGATTTGGAGATGGTGGATTTGGTACCAACAGGAAGAAGTTCAGTTTTATTGCCTTTGAGTTTGAGGAAATGAGGTGAACCAAGATTTGATTTTCTTTAGGATATTTGACAACATTTTAATTTAATGAATTTTTATTGAATTAGAATTTTTGTAACTTTGTTTCTGTTAATTACAGTCGACTAATCTGTAACAGCTAGATATATTTTTTTCTTTTAAATTAAAACAAATACAAGCTTGGGTCCCAGGAGGTTAAAATTGCCAAACATCATATGTGAAATCCATGGCACATAACAAATAGGGTTAGACAATAACGTTTTTAGCCCCATTGACTTGCATTCATTTTTTCGTTCTCCCGGGGAACCAGTCCTGAAGTAGATGGGCGTAACTTGGGCTTCCTATAGCTCCTTGGCAAAGAAAGCCTTTCTTTTTCATTTGACCAATTACAGATTTATCTAACCATACTGAATGTTGGCTGCTTCCAATTATCAGATGACTGTTGGCGGGTTTACTACATAATCCACAGCAAAATAAGACAAACAGATTAAAATGTGTCAAGAATCATTACTCAGCCTAAATGTATTGTTGTTTTTTGGTGAATTTGTTTCTTATGAAGCGGTTTTTAAAGGGAAATAACATGGCTGCTTTGGAAAAAAAAGGTTTGAAAAATTAATAAAAAATGGAAACGAATGTTTTGTCAGACAGACTGAAAACAGATCGTCCACGAAGACCATTTTATATGCGACACACTACTGATCACTTTAGTGTCCTATCACGGAACAAGTGTAAGTTGGTGTTTGTCAGCTGTAGAAAAACATTGGCATTACTAGTGTGAAAATTTGCTGTTGCTTCCTGTTATTTTACAGGTTTATGTTTGACCCTTTTGCAGTTTTCACAAACGGATGTTTTCGTGACTTTAAACAGGAAAACCTGTAAATTTTTTATTTTTGTCATTGTTTCAACAGAAGCATGTTGCATCACTTCCTTTATTCACCAACACTAGTTCTTGTTTGACATTTTAGATCATCTGTAGCCATGTTTGTCTTGAAAAAAAGTGACTAGTCACATCTTAACCTTACCTTAGCTAAACTGGCAGTGAACAGAACACACTCGAACAGCTCTCCCATCCTCTTGAGGAACTCGTCGACGTGCGGCCGCTTTAGGACATACACCTGCAACGCACAGGAATCTTTAAACTGGGTCAGTCCTCACCCAGTTCCTCTAAAACCGACATGTAGATGCAGATCACGAGTGCCTGAGGTAAAGCTTTCCGTTAATGCAAATGATAACCAAGTCCCAAACATTACAAGGCAGAGTCAAACATGCTAGGTGTGGAAGGAAGTTGCCTTTTCAGATAAAAACAGAGAAAGTGTTTGGCTTTTTGAGATTCCTTCTGGCTTTTTTTCTTCTTCTTGCTGCGTTGGCGTCTGAGGGCCGCGTTCCTGAACCAAGTCATCCGGAACAGGCTGTACTTGTCTGAACAAACCTATCCTGGATTACTTGAATCAGGCCCAGGCCTATACGTATGTCATCCCAATCCAAGAAGCTGACCTCTAATCCCTTAAAAGTAGACAGTACCAACTTCTAAACACAAAGAGTGCATCAAAGATCTAGAAGAATGGGGGGGGAAAACGAGTGGTGCTGCTGTTACCTGGTGTACTGTTCCATCAATTTCCACAGGAATGATGAAATCTGCATTGTTCACGGGCTGATTTAATAAAGAAAAGGGTCAATTTCAAGATATAATCTGAGTAAACTACAACAACCCAGGGGTGTAATACACGATCAAAGGCCTCTGTGCCCTACCTTAAAGGAGCTGTGAACTAACGTCTCATCCAGGTCTATAACCACACAGATCTTTCCAGAGTCTTTTGACTTAACTGGAGGCAGCAGTGGCTTCGCCTGGATCTAAAAAAGAAAGATATCTTTACTTTCTGTACAGCACAGAGCACACAAGCTACTTTTAATAGTAGTATCCATCTACGATGACGTATCACAGCCATTATATGTTGACAAATGGCAAGGCGGGGGGTTAGAACTATTTTACAAGGCTACCAAATATTGTGTGATTACAAGAAGATACACTCCGATGTCAGATAGTTTTGAATTTGCAAGGAAACGCTAAATAAAATTATAATTCTACAAAAACAAAACTAGCAGCTTGATGTAAATTTAAACCATTTTAAAAAGAGGCAAAAACTTGAAAAAAGAACATTTGCAAAAAAGTAACATTTAATTTGTAAACGACGAGGTGTGTGTGTTTGTGTCCGGGGGGGGATGGGGGGGGATTGGGGTTTGAAATAAAAAGATCCAAAAATTCACTCTAAGTAGAATATATAAATATTAGGGCTGGGACTTGATTAAAAATTTTAATCTAATTAATTAGAGGCTTTGTAATTAATTAATCTAAATTAATCGAATTTTAATCGTTCAGGAAAATGTGCTCTCAAAGCAAACCTTTTAATTAAAATTATGAGACAGAGAATCAAACATTAGACATGGTTATTACTGTAAACTAAAGCTTTTAATAAAAAATGCATTTTAATTATTCAAATGTCACTGTGTGATATGAAACAAGACCCAAATCAACTAAAATTTATAATTACAAATAGAAAACACCTGCAAAGGGTTCCTGAACCTTTAAATAGTCTCTCTGTCTAGTTGAATTACTGAAATAAATTTGACTTAGCACCAGATTCTACTTTTTCCAGTTTCACTTGTTTGTATAATAGGGAGTTTTCATTAGCATTTCTACTCATAATGTAGTAAAAACACATAAATAATAATCCTTCAAAATGACAGTAGAACAGGCACAAATATGATCTAGGACTTATAGGGGCATTATGGAAGTTTGACAGCCAAAACATGTATATAAATAATAAATGTCTTCTTCATACATTCTCCTGCAATGCCCTGGTCCTGTAGAATGAGCCCTGGCATTTTTACTTTGATTGCCTGTTTTTCTGTAAAATCACAGAAAAAGAGAGATGCTCGGGTCGAGCAGGCTGCTTCATGCGCGTTCACGCTCAGGCATAGCCCGTAGCATTTGCTATCAGTAGCTTTAGCAGCAGAGAGAGAGGCAGTGCCACTTTGTCGCTGTTCCTAACGCCTAGTGACAAAGCTAGCTACATTTCTGAGGACCCTTGGCTACTTTCTGTAGAACTTCTAGATATTTCCTGCAAATTAGCAACAAAATAGCCATTTTCGCTCCGAACCGTTCTTTGAAAGTTGTTTCAGCTGTCATCAAGGATATAAATGTTACAGATACAAAAGACATCACTGGTGCTTTAGCTCACCTAGTAAGACGTCGGACTCTCGTGCAGAAAACCTGGGTTTGATTCTGGATGTGAACATAGTTCATTTAGAGTTTCTTTTTTACATTAATGATATATTTTTTTACAGTAAGATGCTCAAATTTTTATTTGAGACTCGCCGAACGGCATTGAATTCACAGATAAAAAAGATGTGGGTTCAACTTTTATTTTGGAACAGTTTTTCAAGCAAGGGAAGGGAATGATCTGAGCATGCAGGAGGACTGACCCACCCATAAAATTGGATTGGAATTGGATTGGATCTTAAACCTTTGTCGGCTGTGCTGAAGAGAAAGGTACAGAACCAAAAATTTTAATTAATAAGCTGCGCATTCTCCTGTCCTCTGTCCTATGGGCAACACACACACACACACACACACTCTCAAAGAACTGTCTCAGCTGTTATTTTCGTTAAGGAGTGTGCATCTACAGCATGCGCGCCTCGTGCACGAGCCTACTATTGAAGCTGCCATTTCCCTTTTGGCCTGAGGGGGCAATCGCGAGCATAAAAATTCAAAACTCCGTAAAGTCCCATTAAATGTACTAACTTTTAACACCAGTGCAGGCGTGACATATTATGAGAATGATCAGGAACACTAACTGGTTCCAGTTGGATGACTGGAGGATGATGGGAAGATAAAAGATCATGGTGAGGAAATAATGATCTGACGAACAGGTGAGCCGACCTTCCTTACATGGGAAGTTCTGCTGTCACGTTAAGAAGGGGATGCTACAGACCCGCCGTGCTCGAAATATAAGCTGCAATTAAATGTGTGAATTTTTTAACGCGTTATTTTTTTCTAACTAATTAATCATAAATACCACGTTAAAGTCCAAGCCCTAATAAATATATAACATATTTATGGAGACTTGTGATAAATTTTCTATTTCCATAATCAAACTATGGTTTTCTTTAATGAAATAAAAATTGCAACTAAATGGGAAAAAAATTATAGCTCAAGTTTTATATTGCCAAAAAAAGTGTAATTTTTACTGAAAAAAATTACATTAAAAAATTTGTAAAAAATATTAAAATGACATCAGTAAATTTACAAAAGGAATATTTGCATTTAAAAGAACGTAACTAGATAATCCTTTTCTATTTTATCCAAGCAACGAGAATGAGTTTAAATTAGGGACGCACCGATATGAAAGATCCCGATGAACTTGAACGAAGAAAAGTTGCTAGATTTTAAAAGATGCAAACCTGGATTTTTACTTATTTAAGTTTTGATGACCTGTGGTCATCTGTCTAATTTTACTCATTAAAAAATGTTAATTATGATTTTTTTTGGACAATAAAATACATTTTATTTAAAAAGTTGTATGAGTAAATTTTACTAAGTCAAAAATATTGAGTTTGTTCTCAATTTAAGCTAACTCCCCAATGTCAAATGAGTTTATTTTCATTTAAATATTCGACATTGAGGGTTTGTGTTGGAATCATTAACCCTCCTTTCATTTATTAATTTTTTTTCATGTAAAATGACCCCAAGAAGGTGGTTTCACACCTCTGAGGTCAAAGTGATGATGTTTTGTAAAGCCAAGCACCTTGGAGACCGTCCCGTTCTCCTCCACTAACAGTGGGGAGTTGTTGTTGACTGGTGGAGGTTCAGACTGGTCCCGACATACGCAGCAGAACAGGTTAGAGAAGATGCCTCCACTCCGGGGCTTCTTAGAGGACGGGGAGGGAGAAGAACCTACAGAGGAAAACAACAAAATCAAACATTACAACTCGCTGGAGCTGACCAATAACATTTAAAGCACAAATCTTATGTAAAAACAGAAGATCCAGCAGCATTTTGTCATGCGTTTATCTCCTGGGGACGTGTCTCTTGCATTAGTGTCTGACGTCAGCAGAAAAAAACAGCTCCAACAGCACCTTAAAAACTTTATGTACAATCCATGTGTACAGAGCAATGCTGCACGGCCACTTTCCACTCAGGCAAAACTCTCATTCCTCTCATTCTTGGTGAGTGTACATCATCTCACCTCAGCTTCATCACGAAACAAATCAATGTGCTGAAAGAGAAACTAAGCTGCACCCACTCACTGGAGAAAAGGCACAGTAGGCCAAAGCAGAAGCAGCTCATGATTAGTTTGCTTTTTGTTAGCAGTTACTGTCAGCAGCAGAACAAAGTGATGATTAACCAGACATATCCACTGGTATTTAAAGCTTTGTGTGTTTTTATGTTGCATCAGGAACAAAAACGTCCTGCTTCTAGTTTCTCACGTGTCTCTGGACCGTAAAAATGGGTTTATTCAGCCTCTGCATGCAATTGGATAGTTTTATTCTTATAGTTTGGGCATGTGCAAACCAGCAGGTGAGATTAAAGCTTCTTTCTGGAGTATTTCTCATATCTGATGGCACCATCTAGTGGCTGACAAGCATATCACACAAAAAGTCTATTCCTCTGTTTGTTTAGGATCGCGACTTCACGTTTCTGTTTATAAATGTGCTTCTGTAGCCGACAAATGGAGCTAAAATATGTTGTTTTACGAGTATTATTCTCATGTCATGTTGTGTTTTTCTATATTTATATTTTAGATACTTGTCCGTGTAAAGTTCATCAACTCTGCATCAACCGAGGTATTCCTTCAATTTGAAGCAAATAAGCAGCAGTCTAACGCTATTGGCTAGTTCTGGTCGGCGCTCAGTTTCCTATTGAATGGAGCTCTGCGGGGCAGGGGGCGTGTTTAGCAAAAAAAAAAAAAAAAAAAAAAAAAAAAAAGGACATTGCTTATATTTTATCACAGTACATGATGAGATAATGACTTTTACGGATTTCTGAAACATCATACATCATTTCTGAAAGGGGAAAATTCCAGAAAGCAGCTTTAACTCAATCTTCAAAATGTAGAATTGACAGCTGAAATGTCTTCCCAGCCTTCATTAGTGCATGCAGGAACCAGACTGCAGCACCAGGTAAGTCAAGGGCCTTGCACTGGGACTGGGACCCCGTGGGACCCAACGCAAATCTTCCAGGAGCGATTGGCTGAGAAGAAAACAACAGATTTCGAATTTGCTAGAAGATAGCGAGATAACTAACAAAAAAACGTCTGGAGAATACAAAACTAAAGAAACGAAAGCAAAATTAGGTATGTGGAAACAACAAAGGTAGTGGAACAGTGTGTGCAAACCTCTTTTTTGTCAGCCTACAGAGTGGCAGGGGTGGGAACCAAACTGTGGGTTATGAAACACTTGATGTGGAGTCATGAGATGGTTCCTAAGATCTAATTCAACTAGAATTTTTACCATTATCAATGTAATTGATAAAACGAATGGCCATTAACTGACATAAGTAGTAAAACATGATGAAACGGTTTGATTTCCCATTTTCTTCTCAAGTTCAAACTGCAATAGTTGCATTCATATGTAGTTTTGTGCAAAAAGTTGTACTTTTGTCAACGCTATGCACACTTAAGCTCAGGTTTGAATCATTCTAACTGAATTAGGAGTTCGTCTCAGGCCACAAACGTTCATCTCGATGACTGAAATCCTGTGAATCTGTAATTAAAGCTGCTCTGTGACGTTAGACTTTGTTTCTGACCCTTTATGTTCCCTTTCCCTCCAGACGTGACTGCATTACTAACACATAAACCTCTGTTGTTCATCTCTCACACCTCTTTCATTCCCTCCTCCATTTGTGGACCCAAACCCTGTGCTACCCTCTGCTGTCATCGCTCGAGCCAAAACAGGAAAAGGAAACAGACGGGTATCGCTGGAGGAAGCTCCTCACCAGTGCGCTTCTGAGTGTGGGATACCACTGATGTTGAATAAGAAGAAATCACACATGAACCTTTTCATGCGAATGCCTCCAAGCTCATGTTTTATCTTTATTTTCTAGTAGTTATGAACATTTAAACCTGTTATCTGAAATTATAATCTTCACTTTAATAAAAAAAATGTCCCAAATACAACAGAAAATATGAGCTGCAGCAGCTCTTCTGCCTCCCGTTTCCACTCCTTCGTGGCCTTATTTACACCCAAGAATCCTGATTCACTCCAGCATTGAAATTTTCCTTAAATCACATGCCATTCTGCAAAAAAACCCACTAGTTAGCTGCAGAAAATAAAGCATGCATTACATTTAGAAATAAGGGCCTGTGGGAAAGCCAGTGAAGCAGAATGTCCTGCAAGCGTTTGGAAAAATTCAAAGCAAGTGGTTTAAAAAGGACTTCTGTTAGTGTCAGTATTTCAGATATGAAAAAAAATATATGGTTGTGTGTGAAAGTGACACCGACTGCAGTAAGCCTCCGGAACAGCTTCTGTATGGGGAAAGGCACGGGAAGTTCGGGTAAACAGCTAGGAGCACGGCCATTTAAACATTTGTAGGCCAGAACCAAAATCTTAAATTGCACTCAGAACTTAACTGGGATCCAATGCAGAGAGGCAAGAGCTGGAGTAATATGATCAAATCGAGATGTGCCAGTCAAAAGACGGACTGCAGCATTTTGAGCTAGCTGCAGCCTAGCAATACATCCATGATTAACGCCCAAGTAAAGACAGTTGCATAGTCTAAACGAGATGTAATAAATAAATAGATAAGCTTTTCACAATCATTCCCAATAAAAAAAAAAGGACTTCACCTTATAAAGAATCCTTAGATGAAAAAAACATCCTCGACCCCCATTAATTTAATTTAATCAATTTCCCTCTGGGATTAATAAAGTATTTTTGAATTGAATTGGATTGAATTATTGACTTGAACATCAAAATTACACTCAGAATCTATCTTCACACCCAAATTAGACACAACATCCTCAGCATCATATGAGAAGCCATTCATCAAAGACTGAGTAATTACAGGAGCACCACTCGGTGCAAACATAATCTACTCAGTATTAGAAATGTTAATCTGCAGAAAATTACAACCGATCCAATCAATAACCTCATGAAGACACATTAGAGCTACTTCCTTAGCTTTAATAGGAGCGTAGACCTGACAGTCATCAGCATAAAAATTAAAGTCAAGCCCATATTTCCTAAAAATGGCCCCCACTGGGACCAAATATAGACCAAAAAGCAGAGGACCAAGTACAGAGCCTTGTGGGACCCCATATTTCAGGGAGAGAAGTTACCAATCCTAACAGTCACATAGGTCGTGTGTATATGTGTGAGCATGACGGAGGGAGCGTGTGACTGTGTTTGTGTGTGGAAATATATGTCGGGGGTGAGAAGTTATTTGGGATCTGTTGGGTTGCTGCCCGATGGGGTCTGTATTCCTCGGGCTCTGTCGGGTCCCCAGCGGGGTTGGGTCCCAGGCGTTCCACGATCAGCCAGCTCAGGGGTGGGTGGCTGCGGGCAGGCCTGAGGGCTCGTTGTTGTAATCTCCCAGGGCTCTGGCTACTGCTAGTTGCAACCCTCGGGGGTAATCCTCTGTGCCTCTAGGGAGGAGGGTTGGGGCTTCTCCGGTGGCTGTCTCCCTGGGGTTCATGCGCTTCGGGGAGACCCATGGATCTCTAGGGCTTGGAACTCCTCCATCTTCCACATGTCTTTGGGGGCAGGTTTGTGGTCCCTCACACTCACTATTGAAGATTGTTATTGGACCTTACATATACAATCACGTGTATGCACACAGGTGCTCACATGGTGCTCTCACAAGGATGGACTAGGGCATTTTCAACACATCACATGTGTGGTGGCTGTGGCTGGCACTAAATGCACTAAGAAATCTGATCGTGTTTCTCAGTAAAAATAGTTACTTTTATGTATCCTCATGTCGTTGGCGCAGTGATATTTTGGTCTTCTTGTATTTTTGTGTGTCCCCTTTTTTTTCTCTCTCTCTCTCTTTATACAGGGTTAGAAGCAGATTCTCCTTCATCGTTTACTGTTTATTTTAGTAAAACCCCCTTCCCCACATCTTCCTTCTCTCTCCCCCTTTCTCTTATACTTATGTCTCCGTGTGCGTTGGTAATTTAAACAACCAAAAATATTTCTAATAACGTTTTGGTATCGGGAGTGGCATTATAGCAGAAGCTATAATGCTCCACCTGTGATAATATAACTGCAAGGCTTGTCTTCAGCATTCAGACATCAATTCTGATTGCTTCACAGCCAGACTGGACACGGTAAAAAATAATAATAATTTGCGCTAACAGGGTTTATGCCAAAAACCCCTGGTTTGATGCGTCCTGATTTAGCCAGCTCAATCACTTCCGAATTACAGGACCGTTTGTATTCTCTACTGTGTTTTTAAGCAATCTTTGCAGGACCTGCCAGGGTAATGGTCAACGGAATAATTCAGGCCACATTTAATATGCCACATTCTATTAAAATTATGAAGGTGAGTTAACACGTCTGCTTTGGCATGCTAAATAATGATACAGGCTAGCTCTTTATCAGCAAAAGACAGCACAGTGTTGAAGCAATGCTAACAATGTTATCAGAGAGATAGTCAAGAGTCTTTGTTGTTTCTGAAATGATAACTCTTGAGTCTTGAGTCAGAAAAGGATAGAATGAGATTGCGGGATACAAGCGGCTGAAATTAGTTTTCTCCGCAGGGTGGCTGGGCTCCCCCTTAGAGATAGGGTGAGAAGCTCGGTCATCCGGGAGGGACTCGGAGTAGATTTGCTGCTCCTCCACATCAAGAGGAGCCAGTTGAGGTGGCTCGGGCTGCTGGTCAGCCTTCCGGACGCCTCCCTGGTGAGGTTTTCTGGGCACGTCCAACTGGGAGAAGACCTAAGGGAAGACCCAGGA